AAAGCTGGCAGCGTGTGCCTGGGATGGGAGAGACCAGGCTGCTGCCCTCAGCCGATGTCAGGCTGGGTGGACACGCAGAGCACAAGGAGCTGGACAGACAGAAGGACACTGTAGTCTCCGCCCGGGCTGCAGTTTAGAATCAGAGAGCTGGGTGGGGGCCTTGGAAAGGGGCTTGGAGAAGGAAGAGGGTTCTCTGAGGAGATCTGAAGGGCTGAGCTCCCGGAGAGGGGCTGGGACACCAGAAGGGGCAGGAGCACGCAGGAGAGCCCAGGGCCTGGTGGTGTGACGGGCCGCCCACCCCCAGGCTGTCCACTGGCTGGGGAACGTGGCCTGGGAATGGGGCAGGGGCGGTCATGGGGAGTGGGCCTCTGGGCCTGGGAGGCGTGGTCAGTGCCACGGGCTCCGGAAGGTGGGGGAACAGCCCTGGGAGGCGAGGGCAGCCCCGCGAGCAGGCTGGCCCGAGAGGCCCCGGCTAGCTGGCGAGGTCGTGCGGCGGAGACAGCTCGCAGCCCAGACCCTGCGCACGGGGCGGGTCCTCCCAGAAACGCCCCATCCAAGGTCATCCCAGCGCTGTGCAGACCACCTGTCAGGAAGCAGCACCTCCTCCTCGGGTGCTGGAGGGTGGAGACACGCCATTCGCTGAACCCCGAAGACAGGCCTGGGGAGGCTCCCTGCCTGCAGCAACACAGGCCTTGCCCCTCTGGGGCCACGGAGAGGGGGTGGTCTCTGTATCTGTTTCCTTCCTTTGCTCTTCCCTACAGATAAACATCCTCAGGACCCCAGAATGTCTCCAGGTGCTCACAGAAGGCACCTCGTGAGTGACAGGGAACCCCGTGGCAAAGCCCCCCTATTTATAAGGTAGCCTCCTGTAAAGCTGCCTGTGGGTGGGAGAGGTGTCCTGGTACGTCCCCTGAGGCTGCTGTGCACACACGATGCCTGTGTCTGTGAAACTGCTGCTCACACGGGAAACACTGGGCTGGAGGCCAAGCCACAAAGCTATGGATCACGTTTTCTTCAAAATTAGAAACAGCCCTTACTTTTTCTTTTCTTTTCTTTTTTTTTTTTTAAAGATGCATTTATGCATACAAGAGCTGGGGTGCAGGCCAGAGGTGTGGGGTGGGGGTGAGAGCAGTCACCAGAGACAGAGTGGGGAGCAGAACAGGCAGATCCACTGAAATCCACTGCTGAGGGGAGCAGCGGGGAGACAGGAGGGGTCTGCTGTGCCCTGTGGGTCGCTCCCTGGCCGGGGATGGAACTCAGGCCGCAGTGGCTGCCTAGAAATGGACAGTGCTGAGACTTAACCCCTACGCCACCAGGGAGGCCCAGCCCTTACTTTTCTTTCAAGAGGACTTCCTAAGACCAGGACTCAGAGTTTCTGTGCTGTCACTGGGTTCCCCTGGTTAACGAGCTGCTATCAGATTACAGGCGCACAGCGAGGGTCTCAATGACGGACACTCAGCCCCTGTCACCTGGGAACGGTCCGACGGCGCCCCTGTCCAGCGCGGGGCCCATGATTGCTGCGCATGTCCCATGAGCAGGGCCTGGTCCACCTCAGCACACCGCCGGGCTGGGGCCGACGCTGGCACCCCTGCGGCCTGGCTGGAGGGACTCCAGAGGAGCTGATCTCAGTCTGACTATTTTAGTGAACGCCAAGTCAAGGGAGCTGATTTCAGCGACTCAGCCCTTACAAAAAATGGTGTGAAGTAGTTTCAATTAATGCCTCATTTATTTTTCTTTCAGAAAAAAGAGTCTTGGCAATGGATGAAACTATTAAAAGCATCGCGTTGACTTACAGCTTCTTAAAGTGCTAATGCTTATTTTGGGGGTGAGGATGACTCTTGTTCTTGAACTGAAAATTATTTTGAAAGTAAAGTCGGAGATGGAAGAGGCGAGGAGCCTCTCCCTCGGGGAGTAAGCAGAGACGTCCCTTCTCTGGACACGGCTGTTCTTTCCTGCGCCGTGAGGACTCTGCCCCCAAGAGCCTTTCCACGTGGTCTGGGATACTCCAAGACCCTGGTCGTGTGTCACCCGAGTGATCCCTTGCCCAATGTAGACATTTTTTTCTTCCACTCGCCCTTGGAAAGCAGGGACACGTTCCTGACAAGGTGGACATATTTTTTCTCTTTTTCAATTTTATATTTGTGGTAACACCGATTTACAACACTGGATGGGGTGCAGGTTCACACCCCCACAAATGCATCACAGCACCCCCGCCACGAAGCCACCAGTGACCCCCTGCCGCAGTCCAGGCTCTGCTCTCCCCTTTGCGCCGCCCTATTTTTCCTCTTCTTTTTTTTATAGAGGCATGTTATTTATTTATTTATTTATTTATTTATTTTGTTTGTTTGTTTGTTTTGTTTATACATGCACTGGGTACAGTCAGAAGCGCGGGAGGGTGAGAGAATTCACCAGAGCCAGAGCGGGGAGCAGAGCAGGCAGAAGGACCGAAGGACACTGCTTAGGGGAGCAGCGGGGGCAGGAGAGGTCTGCGCGCCATGAGGGACCCTCGCCTGGTGGCTGGGGATCGAACTGGTGCTACAGAGGCTGCGGGGCAGCTTCGCAACCCAGCGCTCAACCGTTGCGCCACCGGGGAGGCCCAGCAGCTGTTTCATTCTTAATTAAAAAAAAATAATAATAAAATAAAATAAAAACAAGCACCAAATCATTTTTAAAAGAACCCTTTGAAAAACCACCAAACAAACAAGACAGGAAGTGAATTTAGGGTGTTAATTAGGGGGACAGGTGTGTAGAAAAGCAGCAGAAGACAGGAGAGAGCAAGGGGGGGTGGGCTGAATCTGTGCTCACAGCTCCTTATGGATTCAGAGGGCATTTCACAAGGTGACCAGCCTCAGGTTCACCTCATGAATATTCACCACCAAGGGGTCCTGCTGCAGAGCCGGGAGGTGTCTGCGGGCTGGGCTGCGCTGAAGCATGTGGGGCCTCGTGCTCACAGAGGTGGCTGAGCAGCAGAAGGCCCATAAGCAAGTGCTTACGGCAGCCCTTGTAGTTCTTTTTAATAGATGCATGTGATTATTATGCACATTACCGCTCCGGAAGAAAAGGAGGTGTTCGAGTGCACCCAGAAAGAAAGGAAAGGAAACAAAATTCGTCACGGCGCGTGCCCCAGAAGACTCGCTGTGCCCATATGCCCAAACCTGCTTGGTCTCTGCTCGGGGCTGCGCTGGCGCAGCTTCTGTGCGGGCAAGGGTAGATGGTGAACTAGCTGCATCACCACAGAATGCAAGAGAAAGACAGACGTATGTGCCTTTCTCTAAGGCTTGTATTCACAGGCACAGCTTATCACCAGAGGGTCCAGCCTCAGCAAACAGATGCAACGACCTTGAGTGACTGACCTTGACTGACCTTGAGCTGAGTCTCAAGGCCAGCAGAAGCCAGGAGACACAAACGCACAGGAGGGAGTTATAGAAATGCAAAGCTCCACGGTGCCCCCGTGACTAGCCAATGAATTTTGCATGTCCACATTTCTTGGCCCTTAGTCTACTCCTTAGCCAGGGAAATTCAGCTTCCATGTTCTCAACCCAGGTTTTAACCTCACTCCTTTTCCCAACAGGGAGACAGATTTCAGTTGATCTCCTGCCACACCGCCAATCGATTTACAATAAAGCTGCTTTCTTTTCTCAGAACCTGGTGTCCAGGGATTGGCCGCTAAGCAGTGAGCCCACTGCTTGGTAACGAGCGTCCGCAGGAATCACCTGGGCGCCTGTGTCACAGTCTCACTCAGCAGGTCCAGTGGGCTCTGAGATGATGCATCTCTCACCAGCGCCAAAATTATGGGGATTGTACTGATCTTTGGGTCACACCTTGGAGAGGTAAAGGGCTTGGAGAGGCAGTTATTGAAACTTCCTCCCCTCCTGGCACCTCTGGCTCATCCTACTGACCCTGAAGCTCAGGGGAAATTGTCCTCATAACTGCAGAGGTCGGTGTGTGCCCTTCCCGTGAGGGACACTGTCCTGGAATAATGAAACCAGATGTGATGACCAGAGTCTGAGGCTCCAGACAATTCGGGGTCTTCACACGACAGGCAACCTTCAAGTAGACCTCTGAGCCATGGATTTTAACAAACAACTCTCTTACTGCAGATGAAAGCCTCTAACGTCAACATCCACAATGATCTTTTCTTATTCTTTTTATGCATATTTTTAATGAATTTCATTCCACAAAAATTGGATCTCGACACACACACACTGCAAAATACAACATTTAATGTTTCTAAGTTGTAGTCAACACTAACTTTTTTTTTCTTGAAGGGGTGACAGAGCAATTTGAAAACAACAAACAAAATGGATCTCCTGCAAAAATCATGAAAATGAGCAAATGTTTGTGTGCTGACAGCTGTTAAGAAAGTTTTAAGATGATTCCCCCAAGAGAATTTGGCTTCCACCTACAATTGTATTTACATTATCAACTGGCAAGGCGAACATGTTTTTCTTAGAAAGATGTAATCCTAGGTAAGTTCTAAACTGGTTGAATTTTAAATAAGGAGTTTTCATAAAGTCCACATTAAATATTTAAATCAAATAAGATACAATTCCCTTGGGTTCAGTTTGGTGATCACTGTGATGTTTTGGTTTGTTTCAATGCAATCATTATAAGTGTAGATTCACTTTTATTTAAAATAGATTTCATTGTGAACTGTATAAAGAAATTATACCCTCAAGTCATCTTTTATTCAAGTGTTTGAGCTTTTTTCCCCCTCGGTTCAGCAAGTATGATGACGCCAGCCATTTTTGGCTTGCTTCCATTTTACACAGTTCCTAGAGTAATCATCTTGAAAACACTCATCTTGCTTTTCATGTTTCAAGACACAATAATTTTAGAATGCCTAACCTGCCATCTCAGGGATGCACGTTCAAACATGTACATGCGCGTGCGCACCCACATCTGGATGGGTGCACACACGTGTCCACGCACTCACAACACTCGCCGCTTGAGCCATGCTGGGAGCCTCTCTGTCCCTCCCATGTTAACTTGACACTTACTTCCAGTCACGTGCTTCTGCCTCTCACAGAACTGCAGTTCAAAATACTTTATGAAGCAACTGGACGAGTCGTTAAGAGTTGTCTTGGCATTTCCGAAAGCTTCTAAGATGTGCGTGACCTGTAGCGAAGAGAAACATGTACTGAGCTGCTCGCTTTGAACAATGAATCAGGGATGAGCAAAGAAAGAGGGACTCTCCACTTTCTAAAGGGTCCTCTGTCATCCACACCGCGCCGTACAGGGCGTGCAAGTCACTCTTTCCTCAACTGCACACGCTGGCATCCTCTGTCTCCACGTGAGCAGGGTGACTAGGGGACCCTGCTCATTCCCTTCACCATTCTCTGCAGGTAAAAGGAGAAAGGCATCCTCTCCCCAAGCAAACTCCACACCTGTTATTTGACTTTTTAAGTGTGAACAGAACATTTTGTGATTTGGGGGAGGAGAAATTAGAATCAATATCAACACCGGTCAGGATTTCTTTTGAAAATAAGTTCTCTGGGCCTCCCTGGTGGCACAAGGGGTAAAGACGCAACCTATGAAGCTGTCCGCAGCCTCTGCAGCAGGAGTTCAATCCCCAGCCAGGGAGATACCCACAGGGCGCAGCAGACCTCTCCTGTCTCCCCGCTGCGCCCCCTCAGCAGTGGATTTCAGTGGATCTGCCTGTTCTGTTCCCCACTCTGTCTCTGGGGAATCCTCTTACCCCATGCACCTCTACCCTGCATCCCAGTTCTTGTATGCATAAATAAATAAATCTTAAAAAAAAAAGTTCAAAGCTTTCTTTCAAGACAAATGCAGTTCCTGCATCAGCCAGAAGAGGGAGCGTGACAATACCTTATTACTACCTTGGCTTGTTCATTATAATTTCTGTTGACAGCATTTTCTGAGAATTCCATTCTGAATTAAAAGAAAAAAAAACCTTTGCGACTAATTCTTTATTTCATGGAAACTGCCATAGTAAGGCACTCCAGTCTCCTGGAAGTAGTTTATGTTTTGAAAGATTACAAAACAACTTTGATGCTAATCACACATCAAAAATGCTCATAAAAGGAGTGAATATTAACAGTGAAACATCAATTTGCCTGCTTCTGAAGTTTGTAATATTGGAAAGAAACATATGTGTAGAGAGAAACTCTGTAACTTTGGACATTTTATATTAACTTAATTTCCAAGATCACAAAATAAATTGGTAGTAATGATGGAGTGGTTTCTGAAAAATAATTTGAAATAGTATTCATAAAGGTCTGACTATTTAATTCTTTTCCAATAATTTAATATTAAATGCATTGTAAAATAATAGTGTGATTATATCACATATATTACACAACATATCACATAATATTACCTTAAATAATTATTTTAAAATCCATATGATTAGAGTAAGTAAAAAAAACATTTTTGGCTTCTAATTATTTTGGTGCTGTATCTGATAATGAACTGACTTTTACTGTTATAGAAAAATGACTTAAAAATAAGTCAATGACATGTTCCCCAGTAAGTAGTACAAGGTAATGATTCAACTCATCAGCTTTGGAGGGAGAAGGCACTGCCCCACATTCCAGCTCAGCTTGTGACAAAGCCTATGAAATTGAGTCAGTTTCATAAATTCTCCAAATCTTGTTTTTCTTTATTCTAACACTAAAATATTATAAACAATAAATCAGTAAAGCGGCAGGCCGCAAAGTCAATATACAAGTTTGTTGCATTAGTATATGCAAATAATGAACTGAAAGAGAAAGAAAAGAATTCTAGCATCAAAAAGTATCACATAGCTAGGAATAAACCTAACAAAGGAGGCTAAAGATCAACTCAACAAATACTGGAAGGCACTGCTAAAAGTAATAGAAGAAAACACAAAGAAATGGAAAGATATTCCATGCTCATGAAATGCAAGAATTAACATTGTTAAAATGGCCATATTACCCAAGGAAATAAATAGATTCAACACAATCCCTATCAAAGGTTCAAAGGAATTCTGCAAAGAGATAGAGCAAACATTACTGAGGTTTTTATGAAACCACAAAAGATCCTGTATAACCAAAGCAATCTTGACAAAAAAGAAGAGGAATGGAGGCATCACAGTCCCAGAGTCCAAATTATCCCACAAAATATGGTAATCAAAACAGTGTGGTATTGGTATAACTAGACATACAAACCAGTGAAATGAGAGCCTAGAATAAACCCACATTCACATGGGGTGTCAATCTACAACAAAGAAAACAAGCACAAACAATGGAGAAAGGGAAGTTTCTTCCACAAATGGTCCAGGAAGACCGGACATCCACATGGAGAAAAACGAAAATAGGTCATTCTCGCATACCATACACACACACAAAATTAACTCAAAACAGATGAAAGATGTGGATGTAAGAGTGGAAACCATAAAATACATAGAAGAAAAGAGGCAAAACACTCCACAACATTGGCTCCAGTGATGTCTTTGGGAACTCGATGCCAACAGAAAGGAAAACAAAACAAAACAAAATGAACAAATGACATGACATCAAAGTAAAAGCTTCTGCACAGCAAAAGAAACTATCACAAAAATGAAAAGACACCCCACTGAGTGGGAGAAAATATGTGCTGGCAGGGGGCTGATGTCCTAGGGGCTGGCAAGGGGCTGATGTCCAAGATCTAGTGATACAAGGAACCCATACAACTCAACAAAAAGAAAATAACCCAATTAAAAACTGGGCAGAAGAGCTCAACAGACGTTTCTCCAAAGAAGACATACGGATGGCCCAGAGTCAGGGTCAAAAACATTAAACCTCACATCATCAGGGAAAAGGAAATCAAAGCCACAAAGAGGTAGATCCCATCTCACACCGGCGAGGACATGTGCACACGTATAAATTCCACCGGTAACGCATGCTGGTGAGGGCGTGGAGTGCAGGGAACCCCGATGGGAATGATGACTGGTCTGGCCCCTACGGGAAAAGGATGGAGGTTCTAAAATACAAGAACTACACAGACCATATCCAGCAATCTCACTTGGAGACGTCTCCATGAAGAATACAAACACGCTGATTTCCAAGGGACATGTGCACGCCTGTGTTCACTGCGGCACTACTGACGACAGGCAAGTTATGGAAGCAACTAAGTGCCCAACAAGAGACGAGTGGGTTCAGATGTGGTACAAACACACGTGGACTACTGCTCAGTCACAAAAAAGATAACTCGGATGACACGGGAGGAGGTGGCGCTCAGGGAAATGCGTCGGAAGGAGAAAGACAACTAAATAGTGGATGATTCAACTCCTATATTGGATACAAGAAACAAAGGAACAGACAAAAATAAACCAAAATGAAAATTAGAAATATGACCGAAGAATGGAGGCTACTGGGGGGGTGTGGTCTAGACAAAGGACCCTGGGGGCTTTAGTGGGGGCGCAGTGGGGTGACACACCTGAGAGGTGTGAACCTGTACCGCAAACCATACAGTGCTGTCAATCAACATTACTGCAATAAAAAGTAATTAAAAATAAAATACTTTCCTTGCACAGCTCAAAAAATAATAAAAACTAAGTTAAAAAACGGAATGGCAGGAGGGTTTTCGCGCTAACGTGACACGTGGCCCAGAGGTGGCGCCATGCAGATGTGTGCCCAGGGAAAGGCGCCCACGCAAGCCGTGCTTGTTCCCCGGCTCGCCTGGACTCTGAGCTGCAACAGTGAGCGCGCTGGGCGGCAGGCACTTTCGATACAACGTTCGGCAAAAAACACACCCAAACCTACAGGAGCTGGTTACAGATGCACAACTTCATCCATCCAGTTTATTTGAACCCCCCGAGGTGAGTTAATGTGGGTGACTGGGGACGATGAACCGTGTCCTGGGCGTGTGAACACGGAGTTCTCCTACGGTCACTCGTCACCACCTACAACTTGAGCCCCAGCCAGGGAGCACCAGGCCGGGCCCCAGAGGGGCAGGAGCGGGCAGGTGGCAGGAGAGACACTTGACGAGTCGTGGGCAAGCAGGTGAGAGAAACGTCAGCCCAGCACGGGGGCCCAGGACAGTCGCGCTCTGAGACGAGAGGCGGGAACGCAGCTGAGGAGGCTGGACCGCGCTGCCCTCCTGCCCTGGACCCGCAGGGACACAGCCCCTGGGCACAGGCAGCGAGGACCGGGCAGCCAGGGGTCCCCCAGAGCAACTCTTTCCTTCCCAGTGTCTGCTGAGCAGACCAGAGTGGACGGTGGGGAGCAACGGGGGGCGGCGGGGTGGGCAGTGGTGGAGGGCAACAGAGGCTTGGGTGGGGTGGCGGCGTGCGCCCGGACCCTAAATCATAGAGGGGGTGCGATCCATTACCTCAATTTAAAAACCACACCAAAAAAAACCTAAAAAAAAAAAAGTGGGGAAATATTCTGACTTAAAAAGACAAACAAAAACCCCCGAAATTTCCAACCCAAACAAGAAACTCACATGTTTCAACTTGGAGTCAAAGAGGCGCGGGGCGGGGCCCGAGCGGCAGGTGAGGTGTCTCAGGATCTGCTTGGCCGCCTCGGATTTCCCGGAACCTCGCTCTCCGCTGAAAGCAGACAGAGGACAATGAATGTTCACCTTTCTGGAGAGTAAAGGAAAAAAAATGAAAGCACCGGCGCGCGTCCTCGGGGGTGATGAACCCAGGCTCCGGGCTGGGCCCTTCGCGGGCCTGCGAGAACCTGGAGCCTGTCGGACAGCCTGGGCTGCGGGCCTGGGCGCGGGAGCACGGCGCCGCCTGGCCTGGCCGCTGACCCCCCACGCACACCGTCAGGATGGGGGAGATTTCCGCACGGGGCCCACAGCCTCGAGCCACCTGTCAGGGCCTCCGAGCTCCAAGGTGAGGCGGGTGGCGGGGCCCAGGCTCAGCACAGGGGGACACCCCAGAGTCAGGGACAGAAGTTCAAAGCAGAAATTAAATTTAAATCGTCGCGAGTTACAGGCCACCCAGACACCTGCTCTGGGAACATGGGAGTTGATCCCTGCAGAGTAAACACAGCAGCCGTGACGGGACACAGCAGCCACTCCGCGCGAGTGAGCTTTAAGCTACGTCTTTAGTTGAATTCTAAGTTCTGAGTTTAGAGCTGTCATGTGCTAGTAAAAGTGATAAGGTCTTTGCCTTGCGTCAACCAGGACGAGAGAAAAGCTGCATGAAACACAGTCTGGAAAGAACGAGATGAGGAAAATGGCAAGTCCTGTGAGTCTGGACAGCAGCGCTCCAGCCTTCCTTGAGTTCTTACCGCTGTAAAAGCTCATTCACCCCCTTCCTGCAGGGCGCCTCTTATTTGGATGTGAAGAAATTTTGCTCCAAAGTAAATCACCCTCTCACTAAGCCTCCTGCCATGACGAGCCACTACGGCCACTCCGTCTTAACGAGCAGTGACTCGTGTTCCTCGGGGTGAGAAGAGCAAAGGTAAATGCCGGAGGTGGGGGTGCTGCTTTCACGGGAGTGTGGGGCACCTCATTTGGAGAACAGCAGCCCCCCTGACACTGTGCCTCCTCGTGTTTTCTTAGACTCTAAAGCACAAACACCGGGATTCTGAGTTGTGAATCGTGCAGCTGCAGTGAGTTCCTGTACGTGGAGTTGATTCAGCCACACCTGGGGCTATTTCTAGTAATGACGTTGTTTGTCCACTGCAAGGACTCAAATACCCTCCTTGCAAAGACACAGGGGCTGCGGCCTGAGGCGGGAAATCAGCACAAGCACTAAATCCGGGCGACTGCAGGCCGAGGCCCCCCAGGCCCGGGCCGGGGTTCGGGGCTCACCTGAGGATGAAGCACTGGGGCCGCAGCTCCTGGAACAGCTGGTGGAAGGCCCTCTCGGCGCAGGAGAAGATGTGGGGCGGCAGGGAGGAGCAGGGCCTCCCCGAGGGGCTCAGGTAGAGCTGGGAGACCTGGAAGACAGGGCGGGAACCTTGACTCCGTGCAGCCGCGGAGAAGCCGAGGCCTCCAGCGTGCTCGTCCTCCGCGCCCGACTCAGCGCCTTCCCGAGGAGCCTGGACGGCGGCTGTTCTGACCCTTGACTGCCTGTTCGCAGGCGCTGAGTTCCAGGGTGGGTCAGCTCGGGAAGCCCGGTGCGACCCACAGGCAGGACGTCAGCACAGCCACATCCCCCGCCACGTCTCCTGCCACGTCTCCTGCAGCGCGGGCGTCAGAGCCGGGAGCGCACAGGCCTTTGAGTTTGCAGAGAGGCGGCTGCAGATGAACACACGGCATTTACAAATGTCTCAGAAACACAAAGCGACACGGTGCTGAGCACGGCCCCAGCCTCCTCGGTCCTCTGGCACTCCGGGTGCCGTCCCTGCCGTTGGAATAAAACGAAGCACCTGACTCCAGGGCAGAGGAGCCGCCAGACAAGCCGGCGTTCAATGTACGCTAACGGGCCCGCGTCTTCCGCTCGGCCAGGCCGGGCAGCTCGAGAAGAAGGAACCTGGCGGGCGGGGGCACAGGCTGGGCTCAGCGGGGTGCGGCCACCTTGCCCCATCAGGACGAGGGGAGGTCAGGGTGGGCATGACCCCCCGGGAGAGGGACTGAGCAGACGAGACCTGCCTCCGGGGCGCACGCGGGTGCGGGGCTGGGGGCCAGGCTTGCACACGCACCAGCAGGAAAGGCTGCTGGAAAGGCCGGTGGAAGGGGCCGCGGAGGTGACCCCGGCTGAGAGGGGACAACTGCCCGACTGGCGCCTCCGTGCGTCCTCACAAGGAGAGCTCAGGGTCGCACATCAGCGAAGCCTGAAACGCCCAGATAAGCGCCCAGCAAACCCCTCACTCTCTGGGGCAAGGAAGCGGCGTCCGCAAAGGCAGATCTGAAGGGAAAGACGGGTCCACTCAGCAGACGCCGCCTTCCATGACTCCGCCGCCAACACCCCAGCACGACGAGGCCAGACAGGACACGCTGTTGGTCTCCCACCAACATGCCCACTAATCAGTGCAGAGAAACTAGAAATAAAATGGAAAATTGGGCAAAGAATCCAAGGGCAAACGAAGAACCCACGCCCGTGAAGAAGAGCAGAGACTCCTGGCGGCCGGAGGAGGCCACCGCAAGGAGGGGCGGTCACACGCATCCCGTCGCGACGGCCGCTGAGGCCAAGTGACCGATGGGGCTCAGGGGTGACCGCGGTCACAGCGCCCGGCCCTGAGAGTCACGCCGCAGACCCTGGCCCCGACCCGTGACCCAGACTGAGGGAGGTTCTCATCCGAGCTCTAAAGCTCGGGGAATCCAGGGCTCAGAGCCTGTTCGTGGGGGGCCTGATTTCCAGAGCGTCCTCCAGGGCTGGCAGACACCCGCAGAGGTGGCATTGTGGGCAGGCAAGGGGAGCGGGCGGCGGCAGGATGGCTCTCCCCAGGTAGAGCCAGGGAGGCGGGACCAGGAGCGCAGAGATGATGGCACTTGGGGTGAAAAGAAATCATTGAAATGTCCAAAACAGGGGTCCATGAATAAATCAAGCTGATTGCATTTGAACACAATCACGCGCTCCAGGGAATGTGGAATGCATGAGGCAGACCTGAGCCTGTCAGCACGGAACGCTTTTTGAAAGCACAATGGTTAACGAAGAGCTTCTTTGGTTGTTCTATTTATTTCTTTATTTTTAAAGATTTATTTATGCAGACAAGAGCTGGGGTGCAGGCCAGAGGCACGGGGGGCGGTGAGAAGATTCCCCAGAGACAGGGTGGGGAGCAGAACAGGTGGACTGACTGAAATCCACTGCTGAGGGGAGCAGGGGGAGGCAGGAGGGGTCTGCTGTGCCATGTGGGTAGCTCCCTGGCTGGGGATCAAACTCATGCCGCAGTGATTGCTTGATGGTGCTGAGGCTTAACCCCTGCGCCACCAGGGAGACCGTGCTTTGTTGTTTTATGAAAGGGAATAGCTGCTCTGGCCTCTCGGTGAGTGGAAACTGCAAATGGTGGCGAAGGCTCTTTGCACGGCAGGCGCTTCGCGGGCACAAGACCGAGCGGGTGACGCCGGCCTCACGGCAGCAGCTGTGACCGCCTGTGAACGGGGCCTTGACCTGCTGACATGCTCCGTGCCCTCGGGGACAGCACACACTGAAAACCCACCCCTGCCTCCTGCACGACCCGTCATACAAGCGCTGCGGAGAAAGCAGGGCAGGGATTTTGTTATCACATCTCCAAACTGTGTCCCCGTCTCAGGAGGGGGTGAAGACAACACAGCGTGCTTTAGTGAGAATCGTGGCTTACGAGGCGGGAGGTAATGGGGTGGGGAGCGTCTGTTGTATGATATTTGCACCTTTTTGCATCTTAAATTCTGCCAGGATTATAATGATGAGGACACTGACGCAGGCGTTGTCGTTTGTAAACGGAGCAGCCTCAGCGAGGCTTTATTTCTCACAGGACGAATTTCTCGTCTTTGGGGGGCCCGGCACGCAGGCTCCGTCACCCGCCGCCAGTGCGGCACGGACCGGGTCGGGTTTTGACAAAATGCTGTTAAACTCCACCTGTTTCGCCCCGTGCTGCTGGGGTGCCAGGAGACGCCGCGGACAAAGCGAGCGCAAGCCAGGCAGGAGCCCAGAGCCACGTGGCTGTTTCTCCAGACCCACTTGGGGTTCTCCTTAGGCCAAATTTCACTGAAAGGCAGGCGTGGCGGCTGATCTGCGCACCGGGTGAGTCGTTTCCATGACCGTCAGCCTCACCACTTCCTCACCTCCCTGTTCTTTGAAACCTCCTCTCCGTGCGGGGTTAGCGGACGTGCCGGAACCTTCTGTGCGCCCCCCGGGGATGCTGTGCTCGGCGCTGGCTCCAGTGTCCTTGGTGACGTGAGATGGAGTGGTGTGGCAGCGCTTTTTCTACCTACTTCTCTCAGGCAACCCTGGAAAACTTCACCGCTGCGGTTCAAGACTCCTGCCGGGCTGGCGCGGCCCCGCTCACCTTCCGCCGGGCAGGGGCACTGCACCCTCTCGCTCGGCCAGCCAGGGGCGCAGGGGCAGCCGCGTCCTTGCCCGGGTACCTCCTCTCGCCACCGGACGCCGGCGTCCCTGCACCCGCACCCTCTGGGAGTGCCTGCGAGGGCTCCAGGCCTCTCCGCGGGCTCCGGCTCTGGTGTGCGCCTCCTCACGGTCACTGCCCTGCTGCCGTCTGAGTCCAGGAGCCCTGACGTGGACGGGGACCATGGGCGCCACCACTTTTGGCCTCTGGACCAACCAAGCGGCGCGCAGCTCACGGGCCGTTTACAGGCCTGGAACCCCCGTGGCCTCCTCCAGGGATGTGACTCAGTGAGGCGGGTGTGACCACCCGACTGGACTGCCCGCTGACCACCCATGTGCCAGGCAGTGTATTCTGAAAAATAAATGTGTGTTTCGTACAAAGAATCGTATAGTTTAAAAAAATATTTGCCTCTGGGCATCTGTGCCGAGGATGCATCTGCTCTGGGTTCACGCAACCTGATCTCAGTTCTGTCTCTGCCACTCACAGAAGACTTTATAGAAGTTGAGGGTCACCCCTCAAGTCTCCGCGTTCTTGCCTGCAAGGGAAGTAATAATCCTTACACCGACTGGGATGCTCTTGAGAGTCAATGTGACAAGGACGGTCCGTGCAGGGGCCTGCCCAGGGCCTAGCCTGAGCGGAGCCAGCTGCCCGACCCCTCACCCGCAGCCCCTGGTCCTGCCTGTCCACTCCAGGGGGTGGCAGGGGGCCCACAGCAGCCAAACCTTGCAGAATGTAGACGGGGCCTCAGCGTGGCAGCTGCCACGCGCCGCCACAGCAGCCAGAGCACCCACTCCCCTAACAGGCGAGCACAGAACGGCGAGAGCAGCAGGTCTCAGGGCCTGAGCAGCGGGCCGACCCCGCAGGGTGGACTCGAGGTGACACATGTCCAGCGTGCCCCGTGAATTCATTTTTTCTTGCATTTTCATGGCTGCGTAAACTCACTCTTCAGAATCAGAATTCAAAAGCCACGCCACCTGCTGACTCGCTCCTCTTAATTATTCCTCAAATAAAATTATTCTGTGGTTAGGACTTCGTGTCTTGCAGAGTCCCCCTTCTGTCCCTGCAGCTCCGGGTCTGTCAGGAAACCCCCTCTCGGGCTACCTCGCCGCCTGGGCCAGTCTCGCCTCTGTGTCCTCCCTCCTCACACGGATGTAATAAACAGACCTACAAACGCTACGCGGACCAGACTTCCTTTTTTTGGATAATTCTTTATTTTCTGAAAAATAAAATCAAAACTCTAAATTAGATTTATAATCTTGTCCTACACCAGATTCTCAGTCATTCGACTTTTTGAACGTCTCAACTTCACGAATCGCTCCACGGACTCCTCTGAATGGCCTGGCATGTCTTCATCTCCATCACCGGCGCTAACAGTTCCCCAAAACATGCTTCCTTCCCCGCGTCAGACTCGTCCTCGCTCTGCAAGATCTGCTCTCTGCTCGCATCACGTTTCATTTCCATGTGAAGCCCGGTGAGCTTCCCTCTCCTCCCCCCTGCCTTGACAACTGGGTACCCGTCAGTGTTGCCATAAGAGAGAGAAATCCGAGGCGACCTTGTAGGTTCTTCGTGTTTTCCCTCCGGGATGCTGCGTGGCTCCTACCGGGGAGGAAGCCCCTCGCAGCGTCCCCAAGCCCCCAACAGCCCTGTTGTATGCAGCAGGCTCGAGGGATGCTCGTTGCTTTGACAACACATTCTTGTTCCTGGTGACGAGGCAGCTTTTCTGATAAAGTTAGTTCCAAAGATCCGGTCGCTCTTCTCATTTCTCCTTGCACTCCCTCTTGTGGGTACGGCGATGAGCCATCACCTGTGGCTGCTGGTTTTACTTCATTAGACTGGCTCTCGCTGGCCCACAAGTGCCCCTTTGCTGGGTGCTCGTTAGCCCGGGGCAGCATTGCTGACGGCAGCAAGGCCCGAGTAGATAAGGCTGCTCGCTGCAGGCGAGGATATGAGTCCCCAAGGAAGTTTGCCCACAGTCTTCCACAAGCATGATGAATGACCTGCTAGAAATAAGAAATGTTATGTAAAGACTTACTACGGTGCGGAGCGCGGCGCCCGAGAGACACAGGTGATGCACGCGCAGACTCAGGCTCGTGGTCTGCTCCCCTTTGCAGCCATGATCACACGCGTTGTCTGTGCCCTGCTCTTCTCACACTCAGCAACACAAGAAGAAGCAAAACCACTTGAACAGAATTTATCATTTCAGACATCTAGGAGCCCCCTGCTTTCTGCTAATCACTTTACCACCCAGTAGTGCAAGACACGGAACAGGCTTTCTATGATCCGGGCAGACAGGAAAAGGAGGCTCCCTCAGAGGCTTTTTCAGGCTTTTATTGATCTTTCTGCACCATTTGTAGGAGGCAATAAGTTGCAGGGAAGGCAGGGATGTCATGGGCTCTCTGCCATTCTCTCGTGGTCTCTTCTCTGGCCTCCACCGCACCCCGCCACACAGTCCTCTGCCGCCATGCTCTGTTTGCTGCACCTCTGTGCCTCCGCCCTTATATGCTCCGCCCCCAGGCCCAGGTGTGCCCACTTACGCACACTCACACCACACTCCGGCCCGGTCCACCAGCAGGCCCGGTGTAAGACCACAGGTGTCGATCATTGATGCTAATGTTGGGACGGCAGAAAAAACCTGATCACTTGCATTTACTCTACACACACACACACCCGCCCCCCCCCAAGAGCTAAGTGTTGAGAACTCCCCCTCAAAGCCCTCTCGAAACAGGCTCTGAAATAAACACATGTATTTATAATCAACAGATACACGCAAAGAAATTAAACTGCCTCCGTGTGTCCACCGGAGAATGAAGCGATCCTGACCCGGTCTGCACACGCACAGCTGAGCTGAGGTTCCGCGGCGCTAGTGTCGTTACAGAAGACACCCAGAAAGTCAGTCTAAAAATGAAGTCCTTTCCTCTACCGCCATCTCTAACTTTAAGGGTTATTACTTGCCAAGCAGGAGAGTACAAGCTACTTGATTCCATTTGATGGATGTACATTTTAAAAGCACCAAACATAGTAAAATTTCATGATGACTTGTAAAGAGAGGATAATTCATGGTAAGCTTTGTATCTGTGCATATTTTCCCCAAAGACATATTTATTTCCTCTTATAGTCTATGCTGGAGCCAGTTGGAAATAATAGATATACAGGGTGAGACATAGATTTTATATGTTGCATTCATTATTTTAAGTCTTTATGAACTATTTTGGCAAAGATTTCAATTAAGCACATCTTATTCCCACAGTAATAAAGAAATATGTCTTTTAATGGATCTGTCCTTTTTCTCTACTAACAAGCATTTCTGAAAGAACTATAAATACAACCTATAGTTTAAAGCCATAAAACTGTCATACTGCTGAGTCCTTAACACAAAAACAGAAACAAAATAACAGGCTTTGTCCATCCCCAGACAGAACACAGCTATGGCTCTGTCACGCCACGTCTCCCCTCCCACTTGGAATCTGGGCTCCAGACCCACAGACGCAGCTAAATGACAGTTATGAACGTACAGATACTACTGGGTTATTTAAAACTGGCTTTTGTCATAAGATGCTTCCTAACGCTACAATCAAGGGTGACAAATTGTTAACTTTAAATGTCATTTTTGCTCTCTCTTGCCTCCCCCCACCCCCAGCACATACAGAATTACATAAGAGCGCGCACACTATCCCGGTCAAGCTTCGGTGTTTGAGGGCAGATGATCTCCTGAAGCCGCCACAATACAAACAGGCAGAAACAGAGAGGGCACGTTTGATCACACAGCTGTGATGAAGTAGCCGGTTTCAGGCTAATTATCTCACCGTGAGCAACTCCAAAAGCTGGAAAACTTAAAAACCTAATCAGAAGTCCTGAAAATCACCAAGCAGCTAGAAAGGCATTTAACCGAGCAGTTCCTCTCTAGAACTCTTTCTCATCATACGTCGCCATTCTGCCGAGGGAGCTGGAGGATGCGCACAGAGCTCTCGGCAGTCTCGCAACGCCGGGGAGACAGCCTCCCACTCCTCCAGACGTGTGGGGTGCCAGAGGGCCATAACTGGGTCAGGATGGTCTGCTGGAATTTATCTACCCACCACAGATAAAAACAAAACTTGCGTAAAAGAAGACAGCACCATCTCAAATTCTATAATGTCTTATATAAAAGGTCTGGTATTCAATCAACATCCCAGAAATGTCAGAATCATGGCCATGTCATGGAAACCAACTGACAAAACCCACATACTGGAAACAGATTCGGATACGGTTAGATATTATGATTAGATTAGAATTACCAGAAGTATTATTATTATCTAGCATTCGAGTTATTAGGTTACTTCTGTCTTATTATTATCATTATTTTCATTACCCAATTTATCAGGCACAAGTTATCAGATGGTTTTATCTGTAGTTTCAAAAGAACAGAAGATCCGCCAGTATTCCCTTCCCACGCAACAGCACAAACAGAAGCAAATGTGGAAAATTTTTTCAGATTTTTATAGAATTCATACAGCCAAGAATACATCACAATGGAAATGAGGTGGGATCTTACACTGAATAATAACGGGGGAGAGGATGGGATGCAAGTGAAAGCGGGAGACTTTCCATGAGGTTTTAAAGCAGCAGCGACACCGACTTTGGTGAGCAGGGCTGGGGTGGGGTGGGGGGTCAGTAAGGGGGTTCTCTTGTGCTCATAGGGTCTTTCTCTAAGAACTTCGTTGATTCTTTGGGAACTTTGAGAGATCCCCGAACACAAGCACATCGTGTGTGATGTCAGAAGTCTGCCTAGTGACTTCTAGCATTAGAATCACACATGATGAGTGCACAGAACTCGTGAAAAAATAACGTCCCTTTCCCAAGCTGTCTCAGTGTATTAAAGTCACCATTCACAGCCTTGAAACCGAGACTTTCTCGAGAAGTCTGACGACATTTATTGTTTTATTTTTCTTCTTAACCAGCCACTTTAGATAATATGTCTGGTGAGCACCACTCTATATTGCGGAAAGATATTTTAAATCTTATACTCACCATGGTGGAATAAATTGGCAGCTCTTTGAATGGGTTAACCAGCAAGAGGATGTCCCCAATAAAAGTCTGTCAAAAGGAAAGGATGGACAGTTCATTCATACAAAGCACCTTTAAAATAACATCACGTATTTTAAAAATCATTGTGTCAAACAAACAAGCAAAGATCATACTTTAATATTTTGCAAATTGTTTTAAAATGTGTAAATAAATAAAATGTCAAATTCAAGGGCCTCCCCGGTGGCGCAGCAGTTGAGCACTGGGTTGTGAAGCTGCCCGCAGCCTCTGCAGCGCGGGTTTGATCCCCGGCCGTCGGGTGAGGGTCCCACATGGTGTGCAGACCTCTCCTGTCTCACCCGCTGCTCCCCTCAGCAGTGTGCTTCATTTTTCTGCCTGTTCTGCTCCCCGCTGTGGCTCTGGTGAATTCTCTCACCCTCCCGCGCTTCTGACTGTACCCCAGTTCTTACATAAATAAACAAATCTTTAAAAATAAAAAGTCAAATTCAAATAAAATAAAACACATAGGTTTATCCCACTGAACACATAATCACTGAAATGATTGGATTGTAGGAATTTCTCATATTAAAGAGGTTTTGTGGAAACCAGAAAAAAAAAAAAACACATGGAAAACATACTGGAAGAAATAAATGGTTAGGTAATGAGCTCTATGCCATCACATCATCACAATAAACTGTATAACTAAACAGTTAATATACCCCAGGAAGCAAGTAGAATACTTCTTCAGGTCAGACCAGTAATGAAATACAAAGTCACAAAGATCAGACTGAACACATGGAAATCAAATAGTGAAGTGACAGCGTTACACCCGAACACGTCAGTGAGTCCATCAGTGTCAAGCTACTGAACACTCTCACTGAAAACAATTACTATAAACTGAAATAAAATACATGTGCTACTTTAAAGAAAGACTTTAACTCTGCAGACTGAGATAATTTGAGCGTAAAAGGATGAAGACAAGCATGCAAACAATAATAACAACAAAAACGTGACTTAGACTATTCAGTTCTAGAACATGTTCTTTAGGGAGTGGCACTAGGGAGGAGGGTAGGAGGCTTCACAGCAATAACATGACAAACCAGCCAGGGAGGCAGAGTGACTCTAAATTTCTACGAGGCCAACATCAGTCATTCTAAATTTCTAGGAGGCCAATACATGAAGCAAAAACAGCTGACCGAAGAAAAACAGGAATTCACAGTTCAACATTTTCTTCATAGTAACTCATGTAACAAGAAGACAAGAGTTTGAAAGAAATGATCTTGCTGACCGATCCAGAACACTTGGCCAACTGTGGTCTGCACCCCTGTAAGCTGAGCACAGACCAGGTGCACCCACCAAGGGGATCTGAGTGCGCAGAACACGTTCCCTGCTCGGACGGAATTAGGAGAGAAATCCATTACGGACACGTAGGAAGTCACCAAATACTTGAAACATGTACAGTACATCTGTTCCTAGCCTACGAGTCCAAACAGCTCAAAGCGAAAATATTTTTAAGAAAAATACATTTCACAGAAATGTGGAGATACTTAGAAGGAGGACAAATTTGGGTGTGACATACACCTTGTGAGCTGTGATCAAGAGTAAACTTGGTATGGAAATCATCCCCTGAAGTGCATTTGTTAGGGAAAAGGCAGATGATTAATGATCTAAGCACCCATTTCAAGGATCCATCGAATGGTACGAAAATAATGTATACCAAAATGAAAGTACACAAAAATAATTAATAAGAGAGCGGACATACATGGGATAGAAAACAAAAGCCAAAAGATGATCTTTGGAAAATTCTAGCAAACTGGACAACACCCTCCAAGACAGAGGAAATGAGAAAAGGTCCAAGATACTCCTCCACAGAGCCCCCCGGGATGGAAACACGGAGAGAGCAGGACCCCGTTTCAGCCACTAAGTCTGGATGTTCTGAGAAGGTGGAAACAGCCTCATCTCGCTAGAATGAGCACAGGGAGACGCAGGTGTTCTAAGGAGAAGACGCCGCAGAGCGTTGGTTTCTCACTGTGCTCATTTTAGTGATGTGCAGACATTTCAAATATTTACCACGAGCCTGTGTCCTGGAGGCTGTGCCGGTGAAAACTTAATTAAATTTGCCGGTGAACATTTAATTAAAAGTGATAAACTGATTTAAACTACCCATGACTGTGCAGGCATCACGAGTAGCCGAGATACTTCGCAGCAAGGCCAGAGAAGCGTCTCCATATTAAGATTTAGCAGAGAGCTGTTCTGAGCAGGACGTCCTGGCACTGACAAACAGACCCGGCCCACAGAAGGCAGGTTCGGGAGAGAGACCTACTCCCCGGGCCCCTGGTTTACGACGAAGCTGCAGTGTGTCTGGGGAACCCCTGTGGAAAATGTAATCCCGAACCCCCTCTTTCACCGCGGTGAAGTCACCCCCCAGCAGCAAGATACTTTACGTGTGGAAGTCACCATCATGGAACTTCAAGAGGAAAACAGGCAAATATTTTTGACTCAGCCCTGATTCAGGACCAAGGCTCAAATGCCTAAAGAAACGAAACTGACAATGACAAAGACACACAAAATGCAACCACCACTTCTTACTAAATTCAGCAGCGGCAAGTGAATTAAACCCTCAGATCACTGGGAGAGTGTCTGGACGAGCCCTCACTACAGGCCGGTGGCAGCAAGGGTGCAGGAGCAGCGGCCACGGCCAACTTAGGGCACTCAGTCTGACTTGGCCCGCAGTGTGGACGGCCCCTGCCCGCTGGAGGTGAACTCGGGACCAGGGCCTAAGAACACGCTTCACAAACGGATCCTCGAGCTTCCCTGTCTTTGGTTCACAGAAGAGGGAAAACCGTGCCTCCCACAGTGGCGAATTTATCTTCCATATGAACCTCAAAAAAGCAGGGAATATTCATGCAGACTGTGCAGGTGCAGAGAGCCCCGGGGTAGGAAAGCGGTGGAGCTGGTGCCTGGGTGGAGAGTGAGGCCCAGGCGTGGAGAGAAGGTCTTTACCATCGGGCGCCTGGATGAGTGTCCAGCAAGGCCCGGCCTCACGGAGCTCCGTGCAGGGGGCGTCACGGGAGGGGATGACCCCCCGGTGGGGAGAAGCATCTACAGACAACCACTCGGGACCTGACCCTCAAGCACAGAGAAAGCTTCCTGCTCAGACAGGGCTTTTGTCAGGTGAGTGTAGGTGGAGCAAGACGTGGGGTAGGAAGGGCCCCTCAGATTGGAAGGGAAACAGTTAAAGTCCACCAGCCAAGGCCAGATCCTGATGGGCCTCACAGAAGATTCTAGACTCCCTAACAGGTTCTGCCGTCATCCTCCACCAAGAATGATAAGCCATGGGGAAGTTTTCAGGTGGGCAGGTTCAAGATCACACTTGTTCGGCACAAAAATCACTCGAGGGCGTCGTGAGCTCAGACTGAAGGGGAGAGAGGCCCCTCTGGTGAGCAGAAGGTGCTGGGGAGGGGCTGCGGGGCTCCCGGGAAGCCTGGGGTACCCCGATGCGGTGGGTACCCGGAGACGAAGCCGCCCGAGGCACGAAGGAAATGAAGTTCAGACAACTCAAGCTGCCGTCTTCCAGAGATGCCGTGCAGGGGGAGAAGGCAGGCCCGAGGGAGGAGACGGGAGGGGAGTGAACAGATCCTGAAACAGGCGGCCGAGGAGACGCGCCACAGAAGAGGCGCACGTGACACTCATCGCAGGGCGGCGACAGACCAAGGTCGTCAGGCCTCCCCGCCGCGTGCCCACGACGCCACTCCGTGAATTCTGATGGCAGCGCTTCATTCTAAGCGTACTTACAGGGCCGGCGACTTATCCGGGCATTAAGAGGCCGTATTGAATTTTCATAGGCTAATCAGCACCTGACAATTCATTACTTGTGAGGACATCTCAGGCTTCACATTTACACGAAAATTGCTTAATCAATTTCCCAGTAGACGAGGAAAGCCGGGTGTTCTCAAGGAGGGCCAGCAGACGGGCATAATCAGGTTTCTCTAAAGACGCGCTGATTGAATTGCTCTGGGTTGAATATAACGAAATCAGGGAGAGACGGAGATGGGGTGGGAGCGTGCCTGGTGCCCACGCGGCCCGTGGCATTAGGACGTCTCGGGCAGACGAGGCTGGAACCCGGCAAATCAGCTCCCCACACCGCCTGCAATCGCTCTCCTGTGTCCCGACCCCATTTCCAGAGATGCGCGCATAAATGATGTACAAGGAGGAGGCCTGGTGACTTAGAGGAACAATAGAATCTCTCCTGCTCCCGCCCTCTCCCCCAGCTTCCTTCCCAGCCCCAGCAGGGGACGCGCTCGCAGAGCCCTGTCTGGGACAGAGGCAGGAGACCAGCGGCCTGCAGGACCTTCCTGCACCCGGTCCTGCCCTCAGGGCTGCTGGGCAGGAAGGAGCCGGGACTTCAGTCTGGGCCGAACCTGCCTTCTAGCAGAACCGGGGAGGGAACGGAACTCCACCAAGTCTGCCTGGCGCTGCCCGAAACACCACGGCCCTGCGAGGCGCCCTGCAGGCCACTCACGTAGATCTGGTCATTGCCGAAGCGCTTCTGGATCTCGTAGAGCAGGCTGCCGTCCGTGAGCTCGCTGAGGGTCGCCAGGTCGTCGCTGGGCGCGGGCGGCATCAGCTTGACCTGGAAAGGCAGAGGCGGTCAGTGCTCGCTGCTCCCCAGTCAGCCCTCTCCAGAGCGGGCCGCCCCGTGGCATGGCGTGGCCGACGTTCAAGGACCGCGGGGGGCTTGAAGCCATTATTAGAAGATGAAACGGCTGGTCCATCCGGGAGAAAAGACCCCACAGCCTCAGAGAGAGACATGCATGCACAGGAGAACCCCTGGTCTCTGCCCAGAGCTCTGCTTTCTCTCTCTCTCCCTCGCCCCTCGAGGGCTCCCTTCCAGCGCTTAAAATCACTAAGTCTGTCACTATCATCCCAGCAGTCACGTCCTGCCAGACCCCTTATCTGCTGGGCGGCTCTGCTCTGTGCTGAGTCCCCACGAGACAAGAGCCCGGACTCGAGCCCTCGTGGGGGTTCCAAAGCCCAAGCAGCAGCTTCGCCCAGCGCTGCGGGCAGGGAAGGCGCCGGGGCAGGAGCCGACTCTCCACACAGCCAGGAGGAGGCCGAGGTCTAAGGGTCGACTCTAGAATCGGCTCCTGAGTCCCTCTGCCCGGCATCTCTCTAGAGATGAGAGGAGCTGTGAGCTTCAGCTAATTCTGTCATTAAGAAAAAAATGAAATTTTATTTTTGAATGCTGAGTAATATTCCATGGTGTATATGTACCACATCTTCTTGATCCAGTCATCTATTTTTGGGCATTTGGGGGCGGGAGGGGAGGGATTGGGGTCAGAATGGGGGGGGTTGCAATTGTATGGGGAATATAAAAATAAAATTTATTATTTAAAAAAAAGAAAAAATGAAATGAAAGAGAAAGTGCAATTCAATCCAATTAAAATAGAGTGAAAGCGCTTAAAAATCAGGCAATATTTCAAAATAAAAAGATGAATTTGGGACCTCCCTGGTGGCGCGAGGGGTTAAGACGCAACCTATGAAGCTAACTGCAGCCTCTGCAGCATGAGTTCCATCCCCGGCCAGGGAGCAACCCACATGGTGCAGCAGACCTCTCCTGTCTCCCCGCTGCTCCCTCAGCAGTGGATTTCGGTCCATCTGCCTGCTCTGCTCCCCACTCTGTCTCTGGTGGATCCTCTCACCCCCCAGTACCTCTTGCCTGTGCCCAAGTTCTTGTATAAAAATAAATAAATCTTAAAAAAAGAGATGAATTCGGATTAGTTAAATGAAAATCTATTATTTGCAAATTAGGAACAGGCAAGGTTTAATGCTGTGTGCAGAGGGCGCCCAGGGCAAAGCCGACAGGTGAGTATTTGACAGACTTCCACGCGCTGTCTTTGCCCAGCAACAGCAGGAGAACAAGACTCTTATCACGATCCTAGAGCTTCACCGAGGCTCACAGGCGATTTTTAATAAGAGCAAGTTTAACTGTATGCTTGGCATGAATGTTCACAGCCTGATTCTGCATTTGCATTTTACGCCTGTATTGATGCCGTCCGCAGGGTTATTTTATACCCGTGTTTGTGTCATCTGTGAACGGCTTCACCTCAGGGACAGGACGCGGACCACACAGGAAGCCTGAATTCAGAGGCTTCCTCTTCGTTTCCAGTAAACAGCAGAGATCACCACTGCTGTCGGGGCCCAGACACAGTCGCAAAGAGCAGAGAGAGAGAGAGAGAGAGAGAGAGAGAGAGAGAGAGAGAGACACGTCTCCTGCTTTCGCCACACAGGGGTGAGCCTGCGCGTCATGTGTACATCTTGTTTTTTCTTAAAGATTTTTTTAGAGCAGTTTAAGCAAAATTGAATGGAAGGCACAGAGGTCCCCCTCCCTGGGTCACTGCAGCAGGTCCCCTTCCACAAGGCACCCCATGTCAGCATCCCCATCAGAGGGGCACCGGCCATGCGTGGGCCGACCCTGCCAGGCTGGGCGCTCCCCCGCCAGCGGGTGAGCAGCTTTGGGCGCATCCTTTGGAAACTACCTTCTCTCACCTCCCTCCCTGCCGCGCACCTGGCTCCACTAGTGTTCTCTTCCACGGAAAGTCTTACACGCTCAGAGCATGTTTTGTCTTTCTGTGCCAGGTGGCAGAACCTGCGCATCTAGCAGGTTTGGGGTCCTGGGGTGACCCTCGTTCTGTCCGCAAACAGCAACACGCAACAGCAGTTGCAGGTGACAATGTCAGGGATAAACACAGCGACTTACCAATGGGATCTAAACATGGCGTTGCCCTCTGCATGTCCTCACGGGGGTTGCCCTGGCGGGGGTGGGTAGGGAGTGTCTGTCTTTGAACGTAGGGTGTTCAGCATGGCGGGCAGGACACGCACTACCTGCCTGCACTATGAGGGGACCCAGGCGCGGCTACCTGCCTGGGCTCAGGGGGTCTGAGTGGCTACCTGTCCAGATTTGGGGGGCTCAGGCATGGCTACCTGCCCAGACTTGGGGCGCTCAGGCGTGGCTCCCTGCCTGGGGTTGGGGCGCTCAGGTGTGGTTACCTGCTCGGGCTTGGTTGGCTCGTTCACAGTGGCGATCTCCAGGGTGTGGTCCTGAGACTGTCGCGTGGACAGACTTTTTGTGGCGTCCTTGAACATAATGTCCTTTTCCAACAAGCTGTCTTGCTTGGCGATCGGCAGCACCAGGGGGTTGCTGCGTGAGAGAATCATACCAGCATTAGTCTCCTCTGGCCTGCCGTCTCCGTCAAAAATGCCAGGACAGGACCGCGCGTTCCAGAAACTTGTCTTATTCAGGAGAGAAAAAAGAAAAAGGTTTCTCAATGCTGCAGGGAAAGAAATCAGAAGGAATCTACATTTTCCATTCATTCATCTACATTTTCCATTCATCTACAATTTCCATTAATTCCGTTTTCTGAATTTCCTTCAATTTCTCCTTGAAAACACAAATACACGTATGTCTTCAGTGTAGAAGAGAATGCCCGTGAGTGGACAGACGGCGGCTCCAGACACACCACCCGGCCACCTAAAACGAAGGTTGACACCGGGACAAAAACAAGCAGATGTGGTAACGAGGAAACTGACTGCCAACAACTGAAAGCAACATTAAATGAATCAAAGCAAAACTAAAATATTGTTCACCTCGTCATTAAAAAGCCGTGGGATCGCAGGCGACACGTGGGGCCCGAGTAAGATAACGCGGGAGCCGGAGGCCCGCGGCTCGGGGCTCGCCTTGCCGGTCCCCGCCGGGTTTGGTTTTTGGTCAGTCCGGCGTGGGCGGTGGTTCCTGCCGTGGTTTTGTGGCATTTCAGCGTCGACGTGTGTAGCTCTCCCTTGACAAGGTGCGATTCCAATCGTCTGGCCATGCTTGTTGTCAGCTCAGTGGGGTGAACACTCCGGAGTCAAGTCCTGTGCCAGACACACCCTCGGCCGGTTGCTCCTCCCAGGCCTGCCTTGTCTGTCGCTTTTTAAAGTGTGTTTCAAAGAGTAATTTTTTCTCTTCTAGTTTGTGCTTCTTGTGTCTTAGCTAAGAGGTTTTTTCCCCTAAAGTCAACAGACTCTTCTAGGTTTTATTCCAGAAACGCTACCGTCTGATGCTTGGCGGGGTGCTGGGGAGCCCTGTGCTGCTTCTAGCGCGCGGTTCCCTACGAGCCCAGGGACCCCGTCCGGCCGCCCATGTTCCCAGGGCGAGTTCTGAAAAGGACGCCTTCCCCAGCCGATTGTCTGGGAGCTTTTGTTCAAATGCTGGGACTGCATCTGAGGGGGGTATGTGGGGACCCCAATGCCGTGTCGCCGGGATGGGGCCACCCTGGTTCACACAGAGGTGAAAAATCAGGGAAGGGGGTGCGTGCGGAGGGGGGTTCATCCGACCTGGTCGCTTTTCTCACAAAGGTCATTAACGTTTCATGTCCATTTTAGAATCTGTGCGTCTCTGTAGACACTCCTGCGGGGTTTTCTTCAGCACCGTGTTCACCCGAGAGCCGACTGGGGGAGAACGTCCACGTGAACACTGTAGAATTCTGTCATCTAGAAACTCCCTTTCTCCATTTATTTTGATGCTTCACTAGCTGCTCCCATCAGACAGCCCAGGGCTTCTGAGCCAGCAGCCCCGAGCCCTCCCTCCTTGGGTGCGAGCCTGCGGCCGGAGCTGGCCTGGGCCGACTGGCCCCCCCGGGTCCCTGCCCAGGGCCGCCTGGGCGCACGCGGCTCGAGGGTCCGTGCGCTCCTGGGAAGAGGGTGTCAGGCAGCTCTTCTCTGGGAGTGCCGGGGTCTCTCACCTGCTGTGACTTGCACTCTTCACCCCCTGCTCCCGAGTCTGCCCGGCCTCTTGGACAGGAGAGCCCTTCAAATATTTGAGGACGGTGCGATGTCCCCACAGTTCTCATCATTGAAGTGGCCCCTCACGAAACCCTGTGATGACCGCGCGCCACTCGGCGCCTCCCTCCTCACCTGGCGATCCAGTGGGCTTTGCCGTCCAGCCTCTCCCGCAGGGGCGGCGGCGAGGCCGGGGCGCACAGTCCAGCTCTGGGTGGCGGCGGGCGGGGGTGGGAGCTGAGCCCAAAGCCCTCTCCAGGGTCTCTGGTCTACACCCACACCCACCTGCTCAGCTCTCGCAATATTTCCTGACTCATCTGCTCACGTCCGTCATCTCCTTCCGTGTTGTCAGAAAACAAAAAAGGAAACTAAGCAGAGATTTTTGTATCATCCAAATTTTTTTTTTTTTTTTTTGGTGGGGCCCTCGCTGGTTTCCGGGGATCGAAGTGGCGCTGCAGAGGCTACGGGCAGCCTCGCAACCCAGCACTCAACCGCTGCGCCACCAGGGGAGGCCCTGTCATCCAAACTTTTAAAGTAGCAAGTGACTGACAGACTGTGGCTTGCCAGGAGGGTGGAGCCCGGACGGCAGCAGGTGAAAGGCCGACCTCACCTGTCCAAATGGTGTCTGAGGAGGGCCTGGCGCTTGCCGGGCTACTCGCCTGCATCTCCCGGCTGTGGTTGTGTCCAGAGGCCCCCGAGAGCCGCGCTCTGGAAGAAGGGCCCAGGAACACGGCCCGGCCGAAGGCAGCTGCCGACTGCCTGACCGCGGAGGCCACCTCCCAGCACAGGCCCCTGCGGTGCAAGCGGGAGGGTGAGAAGAGGTGTGCGAGGTATGCAAGGTGTGTGGCGAGCCCTGCACATCCGTGACGCTGACACATGGTCCCGTCACACACTCTCAGTGTCACCCGGAACAGTCATCCACACACTGACCACCGCGGGTCACAGAACCCGGGCCTGCTCCTAGTAACCGCAGCAGGGGCTGAGTCACCCGGCAGGGAAACTGACGGGGCCATGAGACTCATGTTGTCTGACAAAGGTCCGGCCTGGCGCAGATTCCCGAAAAGTCAGGAGTCTTGTCAGCTGACTCCCGCTAGTCTTCTCATTTGTTGATGTTTCTACCGTATATGGCGATGGTTAAAATACGCATTTAAAAGTAAAACTGCAAATGCTGTTTGATCAAATACTAAATAACTAATTGGACGACAATGGCGCCGCGTGATAGAAACAGCACGTCTTGAAACAATTAGTATTTTTCTGCTTGGAAGCAGCGATTTAAATTTTGGTCTTACAGTGACAAGTGATATGTCACCTAAAAACTTCAGGGAACAAAAGGCTGTAAACATTCCCGGCCAAGTCTTTGAGATGGATTTATCGTCTTTTAAGACAGAGACCGTCTGGCGAGGAGTTTTCAATTTAGGGGCAGCAGTTAAAGTTAGAGACAGCACTTAATTGGTAGTTGAAGTTAGCAATAGTTGAAGTTAATACATAATTGAAGTTAGAAATAACAGTTTGACAAGATAAATAAAGAAGCAGCATATGGAGAGGAGCCTTTTCATCCTTATAACACAGCCACATTAACTATTTACTGTCGGGAATTTGGATTTTTCTGCATCTATAAGATAAAATAATGATCCCAAACTAATTTTGAATGTCAAATGTTACACTGGCAGAAGCGACTGTCTAACAAATGTTTATTTTGCTGGAAAGTATTATGTGAAATAGTTGCATGTCATAGTACTTATCCTCAATTTAAATGGAGGACATGTTTACTATTCTGCACTTTCGGTATTTTTAAGAATAAAATTTGACAGAATTGGGTACAACTTAAGTTTCAGGGCAAGCGCTAAAATACACACGCGTGCACACACACTGGCGCACACTCACATATGCACACACACACAGTCTGTAGCATGAAAAAAGAAAACAGGGCCTCCCTGGTGGCGCAAGGGGTGAAGCACAGCACTCTGAAGCTGGCCACAGCCGCTGCAGCACGAGTTCCATCCCCGGCCAGCCATGGAGCTACGCACATGGCTACGCATATGACCTCTCCTGTCTCCCCGCTGTTCCCCTCAGCAGTGCATTTCAGTCAGTCCGCCTGTTCTGCTCCCCGCTCTGTCTCTGGTGCATCCTCTCACCCCCTGCACCTCTGGCCTGTACCCTAGTTCTACACAAAAAATAAAATAAATAAATCTATTTTTAAAAAGACCTAAGAAGCAGCCGTGGACTTTGGGCATCCTGAGGCTGATCACAGACGAAGATGCTTGAACCCCTCACCAAGGTCGAAGGTGTTTCTTTCTAGAACTGCTTTCTCTGGAGGAAGTGTGCCTGGTGAAATTTCCCTCCAAATCTCACTCCTGCTGCAGGCGGGGGTCTTCAGGCGAGACGCAGCTTCCTTGGCGAATCACTGCGCCGGCATTTTCTCGTGGACTCGCACAGAAGTGCCTCCCCTGTGGCGTGCGTGTAAGGCCCGCGCTCCTGATCACCAGGATGGGGGCCGGGGCGGCGATGAGCAGGCACGGGCGGGGATGGCGGCCCGGACGCCTGGGTCTCCACGCTGAGCGGCGAGTGCACCCCAAGTGACCCCACACGCATCACGCCTGTCGTCGGGACCGTCTTCTTACTGCCTGTGTCTCCTCGAGCTGTCGTGCTAAACGCAGCCTAGACTCAGTGCCCCCGAGGGCCCCGAGGGCCGACTTGTCATCACGGTGGGCTCAGGGCCGTGGTCCCTCCGTGAGGCCAAACCGCATGTTTTAGAATCACATAGAAAAAAGGGCTTATCGCGGACGCGATGCCAGGCTGGCCCTTGTGTGTGACGTGAGCTGACAGACTGAGCTCTCGGTCTCCCACAGGGACGGGCACACGAGGACGGTGATGAGGTCTTTCTAGGCGGTGCCCTGAGGACTAAGTGAATTCTCCCAGGTGGCCGCGCGGGGGGACGTCAGCAGTCATCACGCTGTTCTGCTTAATAACTAAAAGCCCCCCGGGGGTAGGGAAAGACCCCCAGTGGTATGTAAAAGCCCCCCAGGGATTAGCGAAAGCCCCCCAGGGCTTGGTGGCCTCTTCCACCCCAAGCAGGCATGAGCAGAGTTTCTGGACCCAATACAAGGTCCCCATGAGACAGGATGTTAGCAACAAGAGCTGGCACCAGAGAAACTTCTAGCAGTGGAAGCAACAGCAGGGAGCGAGGCGCAGAGGGGAGCTGCGTCTAAGGGCAGGGAGAGCAGCGAGGAGGCCCAGCCGGGAGGAGAGGGGAGCGCAGGTGCCGGCAGGCGTGAGGGCAGAGTGGCAGCTAGAAGGAGCCAGAGTGAGCCTGAGTCCTCGCAGACCAGAGCGTGGATTACGTGGCTGCGGCCTGGGGTGCGGGTCCTAACCTGCTCGTGCTGGGCATGAGCTGGAAACCAGGCAGCCAAGGGAGGCCTGCTGATGCCCGCTGGCTGGCAGGCAGCTCAGACATGCACTGCGGGGCACCCCGAATCAAGGAGCTGCCATGGCGTACGTACTGACTCAGAGACAGTCGCTGCAGAGAGGGGAGAGCGGGGCACGTTCTCATCCTGGCTCAGGCCCGACGGCCGCAGAGTCTTCACCAAACGCGAGTCTGAGCTGATGGCGGGTGGGAGATGTGACTTGTAGTTGGGCTGCTAGAAAGAGGGGTCACCGAGAGCGCAAAGGGGTCTCCTGCGCCCCTTCGGGTTCTGCCAGGCTAGCTGGGGGGCAGAAAGGCCCCTGGCATGCGGGTAAGGAAGACAGTCAAGAAGGCACAGTGACGCTGCAGGCAGCCGGGGGGTTCGCGAGAGCTCGCTCAGGTCCCTGCTGCCAGACACTGTGCGCTGAGTGTGCCGACTCGGCTCCGTCCCCAGCTCTCCGTCCAGACAGGCCTGTCACCGGCAGTCAGGAGACCAGGGGGCAGCTGTCAGGGGGCGAGGGCGGAGAGAAGGCACTTACAGCTTACTGGCAAACGCGGGCAGCTCGTGATCGATCTCCTCGTACGTGTCCTCCTGCGCCGGGGGGCACCCGGGGCCCGCCTCCCGCGTCCTCTCGTCCCAGGCGAGCTCGGCCTTCAGCAGCATGTCCTCGATGAGGTCCGACGCAGCCACGTCTGTGGCAGACAGGGGAGAGAGGCGAGGTGGGCGGCGCCCAGGGAAAGCTTATTTTCAGTGACGCTGAAGCTTAAAGGCCACGAGGCAAACCGCAATGAAGTGCAAGGTGCCTTATAGCTTAACTTAGGGCACCCACGCGCCATCAGTGCAAGGACACTAGCCCCACGAGCAATGGGTGCAAGAGCACAGCTCGATCAGCCCTCAGGTGGGAGGTGCCTTGCGCGTGAGCTCAGCCAACACCAGTGCACTCCGGTCTCACGGTGCTCGAGCACAAAGTCCCCGCAGGCCGACAGCTCTCGAATATCCCGTCAGGGGCAGCGCCCGTGAGTCCTGTCTTAACGGGTGGCCTTCACAGAGCTGCCCGCCCAGGCCGGCTCTCCTGCAGCCATCACCCGGATGGAAGAGTGACTTCGGGGTGTGGGAGGGGACGGCAGCTGCAGGTGCCCGGGCGCATGCCACCTACCTGAAGCCTTGTCTTCATTGCAGTTCAGGAGGTTTGGGTTTGCCTGATGCATCAAGAGAAGCTTCACCAGGTTTGTCTGAAACATGAGACATAACAGAGACAGTAAGCACGGGGCTGGCACCGGGGAGCCGTGGTAGACTCAGCGGGCATGTGGGGGCTCCTGGGGGTGGGGTGTCGGAACACCTGTGGTCAGCACCAAAAGCATGGAAACTAAAACATATCAAATGAGGGATAAATCACCGAGGGCTTGAAGAGGTTCCCTTAACTCCCTCAGGTTTATCTCAGCATCTGATGTGAAGCCTGGGATAGCAGAGTCTTGCTTAGTGACTGACGCAAGCTTCTCTGAGGGTCACTGTCTATGGGTGACAGCACTGTGGACGTAGGAACCCACAGGCACATCAAGTGTCCGAAAAACGATCTCAAGTTGTAAGCATGATGCACGGGGGGAAGATGACTGCATTGGTAAGATCTTATTATAAAACATCACAAATGCAAAGCGTGTTCATGCTGTGCGTGAGGCCCTGGACGGGCGCAGTGGAGTCTCAGCACATTCCTTTCACCCAGCTTTGTTTTTCATGGTCTCTGGGTATCCCTTCCCCACACCGTCCCTCTCCCGGTTTTCCAGAGTTGGCCACTCAAGCATTGTGTCCAAGAGCGCACGGCCCTCACGGACGGTGCAACCCCAACAACGCATCGCTCAACCTGCTTGTCCATCTCTAGCCCCTAAGCAGGTCCCCTCCGTGTGCAGACACCTACATCTGCTCTGCAGTCCCGCGCGAGCTGTCACGGCTTGGCCATGCAGTTTGGAGTCCCCAGAGCTGGTGGATTTAACCGAGTTTCGCCCACTTGGCTGCACAGAATTCACCACTACGCCGCGGCGCGAGCGCGTCCTCTCCGTGGATGTCCAAGCCAGTGGCCGCCACGTGTCCCCACGCACAGGCAGCGCCGTCATAACCTCCCGCTTCGCTCTCTCAGGCCCTCGCACAAGAGCTTCTTTGGGAAACAGGGGCTGAGGATCAAAACCACTGGGGAGGCTCCAGTGCCATCATCTCTTTATGGAAAAAGTCTCAATTGTCCCTTCGAGATAATGTTGCTGGTCATAGGCACTTCCCGCTTTTGCCTGGATTTGAGGGTGGACATTTCATTACACGGGAAAGGCTATAGAGATCTGGGGGCGGGGATGATTTACACAGACAGGTACTGTGGTCATGTCATATGGTGACTACTTTAGCTACCACACATACTTAGTGGTTTAAAAACACTAGAAATCCGTCTTTTGTCAAGTGTATTCCTGGAGAGCGCATGATTATTTTTTTGAAGTGGGGTACAGGCCAGAGTCACGGCGGGCGAGAGGATTCACCAGAGAGAGCAGGGAGCGGAACAGGCAGACTGACTGAAACACACTGCTGAGGGGAGCAGCAGGCGAGACAGGAGAGGTCTGCTGCACCATCCCTAGCTGGCTGGGGATGGAACTCGCCCCGCAAAGGCCGCGGACAGCTTCACAGGAGAGCGCATGTTTTTAATGCTACAACGGGGTGCTTAGATTTCCAGGTTTATTTTTACTTCAAATTATACAAATTATAAAGGTTTACAAAAGACAGGGAAATTCTTGAAATCTAAAGAATAAACTATAGAATACAGGTTTGCAGGGAATTAAAGTGGGTATAGGATGATGTTTTCTCTCATATTAAAGATCTGAGAGGTTTGCCGGCTTCTGAACCCCGAAGGCAGGAAGGCGGGAGGCAGGAGGGAGAGGAGCGGGGAAGCAGGCGGGCCGGAGGCGGGCAGCAGAAGGAACGGGAGGGAAAGGAGTAAAGCCACCCACTAGGTGAGTTTGCCTTTGCTTCCCAGCAACACGCAAGGAGAGCAGCGAACAGAAGAGCCGGCACAGCTTTGCAAAAATGCGAGACCATGTGAGTGTCACTGTCCCTTGGCATCTCTCCACTCCACTCCCTGGGCACGGAGCTCCTCGGAGTAAAGCCTGCGGCCCCTCCAACGCCGCCTCCCCACCGTGCCAGCTGCAAGGCAGGAAGGGCTCGGGGACTAACAGAAGGATGTTTTCTACATGAACATCTTCAACAGTGAAAGCAAATCCGTTTTATTTCAGGCCTGAGACATAAGCACTCGTGTGTGGGGAAAGGCACGTCTCTCCCTCGGGGAATCCCTTCCCTTTCATTAAGTATTTCCCACGAGCTTCAGCTAGAAGGCAGGGCGGTGGGGTCACAGCTGGGTGAGGAGACCCAGGGCCGACAGGACTCCCTGATCGCCAAAAGCAGGGCGGGGACCCCCTGGTAGGATCAGGCAGGTTATTTCAGGGATCTGAGGATGCTCCGAAAACCTTCTATGTGAATTAACGGTAAGTGCATTCCCAGAACCAAGAATGAGCCTAGCAAATCGGAATAACTCTATTATGCCTTCATTTCGCGGGGGAAACCTGCGCTCCATTCTGGCACTTCTGCTTTGACCCTCACAAGCGCTGCTCGGAGCATCTCCTCAGAGGAGAAGAGGGAGAGAGAGCAGGCCCCATCACGGCTTGGTCTTCACCTTGCTGAGAGTTTTGCCAACAAGGAGGGGGTGGGGGGGAGGGGCTGGACCGAGAGAGAAACACTACAAGGCAAACAGACGGTGCATTTCAAACATTTAGACTCGCCTGAGTCGCTGGATGTCGGCCTAGGCAGCCTTTGCAGAGCTGTATTTCAAATTGGCTAAATTGAGCACCATTGACTCCTTCATTGTCATTTAAATTACCTGTTTAAAAAGATGAAACTAGCAATGAGTGGAGGTAGCCGCACACCTAGGTCCCTTGTGGCCTCATTTAATCCAGGGGGTTTACAGCTCGGGGCCCTGGAACTCAGCTGTGTGGTCCCACACTCATCGGCGCACACCCCAAGCCAGGAAAACACGTAACTTGTCGTTAGCATTAACTCTGCTTCTGACTCGTGGGCTAGGACTTCTCCTTGAACGCGGCTCTGTCTTGCTCCCTTGGACAAACGCTCCCGCCTGGCCAGGACGTCCTGTTGCGGATTCCTCCCCGGTCCACGCCACAGAGCCTTCTCCTGGCGTTCCCTGCGGCGCTGGCTCTGCCTGGCATCTCCACCTGCGCCCTTCCTGTGCACAATCCTCGCTTGGGCGTCTCCGGCGTCCCGCGGAGGGTCCTGCTCTCTGCACGTCTGCCCAGCGGCCCATTGAGAGAGACGAGCAACACCTGCTACTCTCCGTGAAGAAACAAGACGCGAGTTCTCTGTGCAGAAGGGACCCTGGACCAGCACGCGCCGGCGGTCGCCAAGAGGGAGAGGAACGAGAGAAGATGGGGTGGGGGGCACGGAGACCCCCAAAGAGCGGTGATGGCTGAGAAGAGTGGGGAGCAACAGCCTGGAGGTCACGAATGCATCCTGTGGGCGGCGCAGGGGGAGCCGGAGCGCTGCCTTCAGTTTTCTCCAAAGCAAATGAGAAATATAAGGAGAGAAAACAAACTCTGAGGACACCAATTCTTAGGAGTTTGGGTAGAAACATATTTGAAGTACAAGTGACGTCTCTGACCACCAACATACACGAGTTGTGTGAGAGCACATTTGTACAACTATTTCCTTAGAATTTTTGGTGACAGTTTCCCCAAACCTGTTATCTATATTTTATACACACTAAAATATATACAAGGAGAGGAAGAAATTTTTCTCAGTGTAGAGCTCAGGGAAGAATCGTAAACAGCCAAGACTTATTGCTCCCACAACTTACTCCGCTCTCAGCTTTAGACAAGAACAACATCTTTTATTTTCTTGCTGGAAAAGTTAATATATTTATAAAGGGTAGTTTTAATACACATACACCACAGCAGTATGAATATAAATAATTAATGCTGTTATACATTATAAACTAGGAAGGTGTTTATGTCAGATATTTACAAGAAAGTGAAATTGCTGCATCTCCAAAAAATGCCATTATTCTCTCAAAAATGGGGGGGGGTGTTTCGGAAACATTCTTTTCTCAACAGAGGTGCCCTTCTTCACAGAATTCTTCCGAGACTTATAAATCTCCCATGCATGTAAATTGATATTCAAGTAACAATACGCCTTAAAATATCATTCCCAAATTGAATATAAATGGAATCTGTACGGGTGAGCAAATTTGTAAAAATAATTCTAGATGGCGTTCAGCAGTCTGTGGACAAAATCACCGCGATGCAGTTTGCTCGAAACCTCACAGCTGCTGTATGTGTCTGAATCGGGGAGGACAGTTTTGATGCTGGAGTCACCGATTCCAAAGTCAGAGCTTGGCTTCCAGCCCTGGCCTGGCCGACACGTCCATCCGCACTGTCCCTTGCCCGACGTGCTCTGGCCGCAGAGTCCCAGCTCCCTGTGGGTGCACGATTTTGTCTCTCCAGGCTGAAAACACAGATGCAGGAAGCCCGGAGCTCGGGGACTCCCTGGACGGGCCATGTGAGCGGGGCGAGCGCCACTGCCATTCGTCCTCTCCACCCCGACCAGGGTGCTCCCTCCGTGTGATGCCCGTGGCCTGCGGCCTTTGTGTGGCCCGTTTCTCTCTCACCACACGTGGTGGCCGCCACGCCGGCACAGACGCTCATCATTAAGTAATTGTTTTTGTTTTTCCCCCTAGAGGCATGTTTTATTTATTTGTTTGTTTGTTTGTTTGTTTGTTTGTTTTTACATGCACTGGGTACAGTCAGAAGCGCGGGAGGTGAGAGAATTCACCAGAGCCAGAGCGGGGAGCAGAGCAGGCAGAAGGACCGAAGGACACTGCTGAGGGGAGCAGCGGGCGGCAGGAAGGTCTGCGCGCCATGCGGGACCCTCCTCCGGTGGCCGGGGAGCAGCCGGGGATCGAACTGGCGCCGCAGAGGCCGCGGGCAGCTTCACAACCCAGCGCTCAACCGCTGCACCACCAGGGAGGCCCAGTAATTGTTTTCTTGTTACGTGTGACGGTAGAAGACGTTCTTTGAAGTCTTCATCACTGAAACCACCTGCCCACTCATGCACGTGGCGACCTGTTTTATTAGTTTCGTGAATTCATTGCTCTTTTGTCATGCTGATATAAAATGTGCCCCCGTGACACAAGTTCCTCCGACTCTGCTCTTATCGTGTGAGGGAGCTCTAGGCATTGAGAATTCTGTCTTGGCTACAAGTTTCCGTTTCTGCACAACAGACACACAGCGCCTCACGTGTCCTACAGGGCTCCGCCTTCGGTCCCACAGAGGACGCTGACCCCGGACACTCAGGCGCACGCGTGTTCTGGGAAAACAATCTGCAGCTTCCTCTGCTCACCTGAGGGATAACATTCCTGAAGGCCATTTCTGCCATGACGTCAAAATTTTCGGCTATAAACAGTAAAACTTCCAGGGAGTAGAAGAGAATCATTTAGAGGTTCCCTCAAAATGTCAGTCAGGAGAACACGGTCATGGCCGGGCACCAAAGATGACCAGACGCCGGTAAAGGCCGTGCTGCCAGCTGGCCCGTCCCTCTGCTCCCCAGGCAGGCCTCGTGGGGTGCCCCGACTCGCGGCCATGACTGGCTGGTCTCACAAGGCCTTCAGAAATGAATATTTCTCAAACACTCTGTGTTAAAACACCAGCTTTGCAGGTTTGTAAACATACCAACCTACACTGGCCTCTCCCGGGGGTGGCAGCAGGAGGAACTCCGAAAGTGGACGGAGGACGGTGACCTCACTCGGGACCCCTAGAAGGGAGGACTCCCAGAGGCAGGACAGCGAGTCCTCCCACCCCCCAGAGCCCATGATCTCGTGGAAGTGGCGCTAGGAGCTGACGTGTTATTTTTCAACGTGACACTCGATCCAAATCAAGCCGGGGCAGCATTCCACGGCATTCACCGAGTCCTCCTTCGCTTGGAGATTCAGGTGCTGCCAGAGCAACCCTTCCCCATCACGGACACAGGCCGGCACTGTGTGTTCCAGGAAACACTGGCCTCTGCGTCCACGTCTCTATCATCCACCAACGAAACCCCCATGTGATAGTCACTGAGTCTCTGCTTCCCCGAAGCCTCTGTTGTCTGGTGGGACCCAAGGCCAGGGACTGACCTGCCACCTCAACCCCTTCACGCACCCATTTCCGCACACGCACTCACATGCTAGAAGCACAGTCCGGGGAGATTAAGCAGCTTATTAAAAAGATTTATTGAGAGAATGAATCTTGTTGTATAGGAAATGCTGTCAGAGCAAATAACACCTTTGTTCTTTCGAAAGTCCTTCCCTAAGCAATGTACTTTTTCCAAAATGCTTAAAATGCAAATGTTTTCAACAATTGCACTGCTCGGATTTTATGCAGACTCTTTGCAAACTGGTGAGCGCCTAAGAGATTTAATAAATAAATACATGTAAAGGGTGTGGCTGTTCTCCCAGACACTGTTGGGGAGTGAGCAAGTCTAGCTCACACATCTGCGTGTGGGTAAAATTGAGTGATTTCTTTCATATTATTACACCTGGACTTTCTCTAACACAAGACATTTTATATATTTTTACAGATAGATTGATGAGTTGGTTTAAAGACTGCTCTGCCACGGTCATCCATGCAAGTCTTTTAAAAGTAGACTTTGCTTCTTCTGAAGCCAAAATTCAGTTCAGAGAAAGAAACCAGCCACCCACGCTTCATTCATGAAAGTGAAATGAAATTTATAGAGAAAACCAAAAGATAAAATGTAAATTTGCTTGAGAGCCACAAACTGTAGCAAACTGAATTATGACACACTGATGAAATGAGAAGCTGATGCAGCCGGTTTGATATTAAGAAAATAGTGTTAAGTTCATTCTATAAAGAATATTTATTGGTTTTAATTATTTCTCCAAGGATTCCAGCCCCAGGGCAAGTATGGTTCTGTGTGCCCGTCTGAAGTAGGTTTTCTTTCCACCCTAAAGCTACTTGGCTAGAAAGAATACGCCACTAAAAGCAAATTTCCGTAATGATTCACACATTCTTTGAAAGAAAAATAAAGTTACATCTGAAACGACACACTGATCATGAAACTATTTTGAAGGAACCATCCAGGAAAGCGCCTTACCTGGCCATACTTAGCCGCGAGGTGCAGCGGGGTCCAGCACTGGTCGTCTGCCGCGTTCAGGTCCCCGCCGTGTTCCAGAAGCCGAGACGCCACCTCTTTGTAGCCGCTGGCACTCGCCATGTGTAACTGCAACAGGGAGAGCCTGTCACTTGGCTCGAAAACTCAAGAGATGAGGTCAATACGGTTTATTTGTGGTTTACAGAGAGCTGTTTATTAAAATGCTGACTCTAAAATACAGACATCTGTGAAAGAGGGGATAGAGAGGGTTAATTTTATTAATTTGGGATAAATGGATGTCGTCACACCCTGAAAAGAGGTTCACCCCTTACGCATTCATTATCTCCCTCCGCTCTGACGGGGCACTTTGTCACGCCATCCCCACCTTGTTCTCCACGGTTCTACCTGGCGACACTCTGAGGACTTCAAAGGCACGAGATGAGAATTCAATACTTTACTATTCCTGCCCAAAATCCAGACAGGTACTGACTAGAACTAAAGTCCCGGCACTGTACAGCGTTACAGGAGGGAGAGTCAAAGACACAGGGGCGAGCAGAAAGTGTGACACTGGGGTGCATGTGGAGCCCTAAAGGGGGCCGGAAGGCTAGCAAGGGCGCAGTCATTTGGAGAGCTGCAAGTGACTCTCTAGCTATAGTTTTAACGTTTTCTCCAGGTTAGTTTGTCAAAGCAACCTGAAGGTTAGAAATGAAGCTTTAGGAGCTACAATGAAGGGATCAGGAGCTGGAGAATTTTCCAGATATTTCCGATGGGGAAATTCCTGTTTCTATGGCAACAGCCTTTATTTGTAAGTTAAATAGCATCAAACTCAGTTTAAATCAGGCATTTAAGTAACTGCATGATTGATCTCCCCCCCAAAAAAGCCATAATTAATAACCAAGAAGAGGAAAGTAGGAAGGAAGAAAAAATAATTTTCTGTAATAAGCAGAATGGCTTCTATGTTTCAGAACACGGGATTTGGGAGCCCTCCTCCTTGTTTATATTACAAAGATAAAACCACAATAAATTTTAAAGGCCTTGTTAAACAAATTTTGAGAAAATTCCACAAAAAATTGCTTTTCCACCTTTGGACTGAGTTATGCGCTCAGGCCTGCATTCATGTGTTCGGCTCCTGTGCTTCTCGGCACAGTGCGACGACAGACACCGCCATCTAATTTAAGGCATAAACATTAAGAGATTCAGCTTCACGTTCTCCCCACACAGCATCTACCTCATGCCTGTGCTGGCAAAGGACCCGGAACCATCCGCCTGTGAGGATTTTAGAGCAGTAACGGCGGCAGGCTCTCGCTCTCCCGGAGAGTCCACCTCTCGTCTCCCTCTAAGTTCATTCTAGGTTGTTTGTATAATGAGCCAGTGCCTGGCAGCTCGGTCGATGGATCTGGATTAACATCTGGATCTCAGAAGATTGTCATTTTCACTATAAACTGCAGCAAAAGTGGCCCTCAGCTGGTCGCGCCCATGCTAATGATGGCAAGTTCACGGGCTCAACCCTGTGGGGAGCAGAGTTGCTCGTCATGCAGCGAACTCGGTTTCCACTGTTTGGAAGGCAGCCCACTGCCACCATCGCCTCGCCAGGAAAACACTAGAAGGCAAGAGTCTGGCTCACTTTCTGGAAGAGCTGGGGGGCACCCAAGGGGGACACGGGGGGCAAACGTGATTCTGGGAAACCTGGAGTCCCAAGCAGACCCAGCTGGCTACTTCCAGGTCCTCACAGGCAGTGGGATTTCTAGAAACCGCCGTGATAACTCTCAGGAGTTGGCCCCTTTATCTGGACTTCCGACCTCTGCATCCAGAGCCAGGCCCAACCCGGGCGCAGCTTCTCAACTCCAGGGTTGGAGTGAGAGTCTAACAAACACAACGTCTCCTCCCTGCCTTGTGCTGACTCTGCGCAGGTGCCGGGGCCCCGAGGGGAACGTGGTGGCTCGCCGGCGCTCCGGGCTGCACGGGAGCTGGGAGGGCGGCGCCCCAGGCCCAGGGGTTTCGCAGACAGAACACAGTGGGGCTCCCTGCAGCTGCGGAAATCCAGAGGCTCTTCTCCCCTGCCCCATGGGGTGCTGCCCGCCCATGAGGCCAAGAGCACCGGGGCCACTTCACGACCCCACAGAAGGACCCATTTTCCCGGTCAGGTTGGGGCTCTCACAGGCGTCCGTGGCGCGGCCCAGCTGCTCTGCGGCCCTAACGTCATGTCACGTCATTTCCCAACGAGCACCAGCCCCAATATGGGAACACATTATCCCAAAGACAGAAAATAAGTGAAGCCTAGGGCCTCCCCGGGGCGCAGCAGGTTGAGAGCAGTGCTGTCCGCAGCCTCTGGTGTGCAGGTTCGATTCCCCGCCGGCCAGGGAGATCCCCACCTCTCCTGTCTCCCTGCTGCTCCTCTCAGCAGTGCTTTCGGTCCGTCTGCCTGTTCTGTTCCCCACTCTGTCTCTGGTGAGTCCTCTCACCCCACACACCTCTGGCCTGTACCCCAGTTCTTGTATAAATAAAAATAAATCTTAAAAAAAAATAAGTGAAGCCTCAATCATCACATGCTAACGTGGCTCTGGGCAGGGTGGAGCCAGCCCCGGTGGTCCCCACGCCGCCCCTCCTGCAGCAGGACACAGCCAGGCGCCCAGGAGGGGCAACTCGGGGAGTCAGAGTTGTTTTCTGACTCGAAAGTAGCGTGTGCTTGTACTGCAGGGTGTTAAAAAAATGTATACAATACAAAAATGAAAGAAAAAATGCCGCTACCCAATATTTACTTTTGATATCTTAATTCATCCTATTATCCTATTAATTATTTAACATCTATTCAGCAATGCATATAAATGCTTTCATTTTATGAAATTGGAGCCTTTATGTACTTACTAAGTTAATATCTTTTTCACCTGCTGCGCTGACTACTTTGGTGACCGGATTTGCTCATCCCGGCGGCCTCCTAGAGCCCACTGCGGCTGCGGGGTGACAGGCTCAGGGGGCACACACAAGCTGGGGGGCCCTGCTGTTCCTACAGGGTGGGCGCTAGCATCACCCCGATTCAATAGAGGGAATCATGACTCAGCAAGTTTATCAGCAAGAAACCCGTAGCAGTGACAGAGCTCAGGGGAGGTGATGGAGCCCAGAGGAGCTCCGAGGCTGTGCAACCTCTTTCCCACGAGGTTGTTCCTCTAAACCATCCTTTCCAGGAAAACCAGCATGACGTCCTAGGGATGCACCATGACCAACTGACCAGTGCACGTCTTGGCCATTTCTTTGCCAGGACAGAAGGTCTCTTTGTGGACCAGTGTCCTGTTACCTCTCTGATTATTTCCTTCTGAAACATTCCTAGAGATGGGGTCCCGGCTCTACGTTTGTGCCTGTCAAGTCTGTGCTGTGCCCACTCTGCGTCCAGAGGGTCTGCACCAGCTCGTGCCGTCGAGCTGCAGCCAGGCTCGGCCATGCCTCGGTTTCTGGCCCTCAACAGCATTTGATTCTAAAGTGACTGCAGATAATTTGCACGAATTTACTAATCAACCATGGGCCTCTTTTCATGTATTTGTAGACGAGGAGTATTTTTCTTTTCTGAAGTGACTCTCATTATTATCTATTCAGTTTTCCGTGGCGAGATGGTCATCTTCTTTATTAATTTCTAGGAACTTTGCATATTTTAAAGGGTTCACTTTGATGTATCCTCTGACTCCCGTCTCATCATCTGCTCTTCGTCTCAATCGCCGTTTGATGCACAGAGGTCGCCATTTCTGCCGGAGGCAAGGATGTCTGTGCCTGTGTCCCCTCCTGTTGGGAGATTGCAAGGCCTTTGCCACCAGCCTAAGTCATCTCTGCTGTGTTAACTGTGGGCTTTGGGGAATTGGGCGTTACTTGTCGTCACTTACTCTCGTATTGGTGCATCTAAATTTCTTAAAAATCTGTGTTTGAAATATGAAATAGATCCTTATTTGGCGTGGTCTTCCTTCAGGCCAGTCTATAGCCAGACGGCCACTCTGAGGCTAGTTCCCTGTTGTGATGGACTTGATGTCAAGAGTAAGTGAAAATCGGTCTCCAGGGGTCGCCAGCCCACACGTCTGCAGATCAGCCCGGGCCTGGCCAGCCCTCACAGAGACTTGTCCTCTGCCTCAGTTGGCTCAGCATAAAGATAACACATCAAATCCCAAAGTGAGGCCACAGACATAACTTTGAAAAGAGTCGTCCCCGAAGTGCCTGCATGACTTGATCTCTGCCTGCGGTGTGACAGGCAGAAGGTGGGATACAGTGAGACTGGAGCTGGAGTGTTTTTGCAGAGAACTGCCAGTGTGCTGGGAACCCCCCAGCAGAGACCAAGCTCCCCCAGATTTCAAGCCAAGAGAGCTTGACTCCGTTGACCCTTGGAGAAGTTGGGTGGCCGGGGCACATGGGGAGACACAGGGGTTGCTTGTCACTCCTCCCGGAAAGCAAGGCACAGACGGCAGACAGCACTGCGGATGCTGGGGTGCACCTGTAGTCTGAGTTCCAGGGTAGATGTATGTGGCGGTCTCCCTGGAACAGGCTGTGCTCATTCTCGCTTTGTTTCAGGGTTCCTGAAGGAGCAGGCAGGGTTCAGGAGAGTGGCAGGAGCACCCCGGGTTCCCAGAGCAGGTGGCAAGTGTGGGGAACCACCTGGAGACCAGGTGGCCTGCCAGGCCCAGCACAGGCTGGAGACGCCAGGGAGGGGTGAAGGGTAGCCTTTGAGGAGCCCCAATCCTCACAAGAGGGGGGGCACAGCTGACCCTGGGGTATGGCCCCCTCTCATGTGAGGTCAGCCCCTCGGCTCCTGCCTTCTCCTGTGTCCTGTTGCCCCTTCCTTTCCTCCCAAGAGGTGGCCACGGGAGGGAGACAGCAGAGCCTCCCGCTCTCCTGGGGCGCCCTGAGCAGGCCCAGCGCCCTCTGCAGAAGCTCGGGATCGACGAGACAGCGTCCTCTACAGCAGTCACTCCGCCCCACAGGGCCTGTGGACATGCAGGGCTGCAAACGTGGCTGAGAAAATGGTTCTTATTTTTCTAGCCCTGACCTTGAAACAGCACGTCCTTCATGATGAGCGCCAACAGCGCCTGGGGATGCCATCGAGGGAATCCCTGCAGCTAACACCCCTGCCGGCGCTCTCTGCAGCCACGGAGACAGCTGATCCGGGGGTTCCACGCAGACCCGCCGATGTGGGCTTCCATGCAGGCTGCGCTCCCGGCCTGCTTCCTCTGCGAGCCTCTGCACCGATTTTTGTTCCATTAACACTGTTATTCTGACAAGCGCCTCCCGGGCTGGCCCAGGCAGGGACAGGGGAGGCGCTAAAACAGCCCCGAGCCCGGCCGGCCGGCGGACAGGCGGCCCCATCTCTAAGCTGAGTCTAGAAGTGGCCAGAACACTGGCGGCAGCGGCTGCGGCGTCCCCCACAGCGGGGCCCGAGCCGGCGGCCCCGCAGGAGCAAAGGGAGACGAGGTGAAGCCGCCGGGAGTCCATGTCTCTTGGGTGAGGCTCCCCCAACAAACCAAGTCGGCTCGGGGCCAGGCACGTCGCTCCAGCCAGGGGCCCGCCGGCCGGAGCCGGGCTGCAGCCGCGCCCCGCAGGCCCCTCCGGTGGCGGCTCCCAGGGGCCCCCGGGCAGACTCGCCCCCCGCGCGCGGCTCTCCCCACGCTGCGGCCTTTCCCCAGCCGTCTGTTTTCTTCTCAGGAGACGGCCGAGGCCACGGAAAGACCCTCTTAAAAGAGTGATATTTATTTGTGGCAAAGTCTGAAAAAGACAAGGCGACACAAAGGCCTTCCCGTGACGCGTTCACCCCACGGCGCCGCGCCTCACGCGGGCGGCTTCACGCTGTGGGGACTCCCGCTCGGCCCGAGCCACGGCGGACCCCCAGCCCGCGGAAGGAGGCGCTCTGGGCCAGGGGCGTCCTCTCCACCCGTCACGGGAGACAAGACCCCACGGGGGTCGGGGAGCCACACGGGCCCGGGAGGCCGCCGCGCTAGCCACGGGCCACCCGGTCAGGCACACGAGCCGCCTCGCCGCCCCGCACTGGACAGTGATGTCCAGGGGAGCCCCCCAGGCTCCGGCCACTGTTACTGTGACAGGCTCGAGAGCCGCGCACGAGACCGGGCCGCTGCACGACAGGGACTTGTCACTCGGACGCTCTGTTCAGTGAAAAAAGACACGGGAAGGTCAGAACTGCAGGGGCGCCAGCGCGCGACGCGCTGTCCCCGGTGAGTCCACTTATTTTATTCACATTGTGATCAAAAGTATTTACTCCATAAATTAATTGGACTGTTCTGTCATTTGAATAAATTACTTTTCAATCAACTGGCCACAGTCTCAGTTTCCCTTTCGTACCGCTGGAGAGACGCGTGTCTGACGGTGTCCTGACGCTTTCGTCCAAAGGCCAAAACCACTGCTAGGAAAACCGTTCTATTCCGAGGCCTCAAGCTACTTCACCTGTATTTAATAAGCCAAAGAGGCATCAGGCCTCACCAGACATGCATCCATTTAGTTACGTGGCCGCGGTCACCCTCACACGGGACTCTCCGCAGCAGAGCTGCAACCCCTGGTTCTGAGCCCCACCTCCCGGGCTGCAGGCACCGCTGCACCACCCGAGCTGACTTCCATCTCCCCTCTGAGCCTTCATGCAGTTTTTCTCACCACAATTAATTTTAACCTGAGCATACAGAGTCCAGGCAGTTTTTACAGGTTGAAGGGGCCAGATGTTTTTATTTTGATGATTCAACATTATGACTTACTCCATCGCTCTGCTTTTAATGACTGCGGTTGTGCTGGATAGCTACCAAAAAGTAATGACAGGTATTCTTTGAATTTGGAAATTCACTTCCCACAGTAAGGCATTAGTTTCTTTTGCTTAAAATAAAAACATTTTCCTAGAACCATGATCTAAAACAATCACATTAACCAAGTAATGAAGAAGAATTACTCCAGGTAGGCCTGCAGGAAAAGCAGGAAGAAAATACACCACCTATAAAGCCGGCTCCCCCTCCCCCACGTGGGGTGTGGTGACCCGCCTTCCCTTACACGCGTGTGCGCCTCCTCAAACCCCTACAAGGGACAGCCTTGCTCTTATGCTCGGGAGAAAGGAATGATCTAAGAGTGAGCGACACTGACTTCCAGGCCTGGGAAACAGATGAAACTCCCTACAGCGGGGATGCTCGGGGTCGGGCGGGGACTCACCAGGGTCACTCCTTCGTGGTTCTTCGCGTTCACGTTCCCTCCGCGCGCCAAGAAGTGCGTCACGTCTGCCAACATCCGCATCGGTCTCTGGAGCTTCATCTGGCGCAGCGAGCCCGGATCCACGCCTGGGGAGAGAGCTGCTGCTGAGCCGCCGGGTGGAGACTCAGCTTTATCTCACCCCCTTCCAGCATGCGCCTCTTTGAACCTCTCTTCCCCTGGCATGCTCGCCAGCACCTACAGCTGCCCGCTGGGCACCGTGCTCGCCACCCCGGCAGGGCAGCGTCTTGAGGGAGGAAGGCTGTCCTCTTGCCACATCAGCAAGATCGGACGGGTCCCTCCCCGGGCGGCTCTCGGGGGGCCCAGCTTTACTGCAGATCATCAACGTGCTTTGAGGAGCAACGATCTTGGCCAGAATAGGATGAGAATCCAACTCCAAGTTTACATCATTTTTTAGCTTTTATATTGTTGCAGTGTTTGCTGAAGTGGCGCGTATCTTTTAGAGCTTTAAACGTGTAATCAAAATGGAATGATAACAAAGAACAGGACTCAAAGAGGAAAGACACGGAGACAGAGATCAGGCGTAACTCGCGTAGCCTTCTCTGCGAAGATGCAGTGTGATTTCTGTCACCGTCGTGAACACGCCCGGATGGGGTGCCGTGACGCTGCCATTCGGAATCCCACGTGAGAGCAAACCAAGCGTGATTTTTAGAATTTTGTTATATGTTCAGAAAAAAAGCACGAGTCTATTTTTGGTAATGCAACAGAGATAAAATTTCCTCTCTTCTCGGTCAAACAAGTCTCTTAAATTGCCAGAATAAACGAGCCAAGACGGCCAAAATCCACAATAAACCTAGTTCATCAGGGATATGGGCTAATGGCTCTTTTAAAAAAGAAATTTCGCTTACTTTTGACACTGCTTTCTGAAAAAACGGCATGTAAGTCCTGTAAGTCCTGCTTAGATTTACTATTTTGTCAGGAGTTTGGTAGCCTTTTGTAAATTTAGGAAATAAAAACAAGGTAATTTACATGAAATTCACAAGTTATTACAAGAGACACTATTCCTATTGCCTGGTGGCCTTCTGTGGTATTAACTGGTATTGGTATAAAACAGAAATAACTTCAACAGCCCCAGTCAAACGGAACTCTGTCTTAGCCTCCCACACCTGCCTCCCTTGGGTGCCATGTGTAGGCAGCGAATCAGCGTGGCCCTTCCCCACACCCCGAGCCGGGCCGCCGTGCCAGGCCACCCCGCGGGCAACTTCACCACGACACTCTGACACGAGGCACCGATGAGGCTAACGCGGCTTCTCTAAGTTCCTGAAATGGCCGCTCACCCCAATGTCGTCTCCATAGCAAGCTTCCCAAGAGACCCACGAGCCGCAGGAGGCCAAGAGTCAGACCGTCACACGAAGACAGTGGGTTCCCGCAAGAGAAAGAAGCAGGCGCACTCCCGGCCCCTCTCCAGCTCGCCACAGCTGAGTGCCAGGCCAGGCCAGGCGCCACCCTCATCCTGACAACGTTAAGCGGAAGACAGACACAGGGGCCCTGGGGCCGATGCATCTGGGCCGCCTCCAGGGAATGAGCGGGCCCCATGAGTCCAGCGGCAGAGGTGGGACTAAGGCACTTTCCAGATGCTGCCCCGACTTCCAGCAGCCACTCCTTGGAGGGCGCAAGAGCGTGAGGGAGCCTGATCCCAGCAGCAGCGCCACAGTGGGACACTGACCTTAGCCCGGTGGGGACACAGTGACCTCTGGCTGGTCACCATGTGCCACACGGCCCAGCGCCAGCGGCGCCCACCTACGTGCAGCGTCATGTGCCCACGGAGGACGCCAGGCTGCCAGGTGGCGATTAAGGTTATTCTGAGCATCGACCAATTAGCCCCTAGAAGAGCGGTGGGGGCCGGTGTGGAGGCCAGGCGGGACAGCTGTGCGGGCTTTTCTCGGAGAAGGACAAGTCACCAGCCCCGCGGGGCTCCTGCAGCTTTTCTACTTTCTGGCAAAAGATCATACTCGAGGGGGTGGGTTACTTTGTGGTTATTTATACCAAAACAGCAGGAAAGGGGGGCATCCTTTAGTGAAAAGAACCGCCACACAGGCCCAGAGCCCCAGCACCCCCACTTTGCCAGAGCTGCCCTGACTCATAGGGTGGGTCTGTGCAGTCACGTGGCCCTCGTCAGAGGAGCTGGCAGGGCACAGCCTCCTCTGTCCAGGCGAGCGCCTGAGTGTGGGGCTTTCTGCTGACAATGCTGGTGTCTCTGATCACCTAGGACTTGGGGTGTTGCTCAGGACTTGGGGTACTACAGAAGTGTCTGACTTACCCCAAGCTGCTCTGCTCCTCAGGAGCACCCCTGCTCCCCAGGAATGCACTCCAGGTGACCCTGCTCCCATCCACCCAAAACTCAGCTGCGCTGCTTCCTCTCCCACCCCCCAGTGGAGGACAGATTATAATTACAAATCCAGCCCCACTAATTATGGACTCAGATGCTGGTTAAAATGTTCCTCCCTCGGACGGCGGCCACCGGTTTCTGCTGGCTTGCAGAACAGCGCTGACTAATCCCGACGCACGGCGCAAAACAATGAAGTGCTGGCCAGAAAGACCTCACTGGCCAGGAGCCCCGGGACGCCGCTGTCCCGAGTCACGTGAGGATCCCGGGGACCGGGACCGGACTGGAGCCGCGCTCGGACGGGGCCACCTACCGTTCTCCTCCAGGTAGGCCAGCAGGATGGCGCTCGACTCCGTGCCCTCCACGGCATAATCCAGAGGTATGTTTCCATTCACATCCTGGAGAAGGACATTGGCTCCAGCCTGCAAACGAAAAAGAGCAACAGAACCTGATGCCCCTGGTTAAAGCAGAAGCAGATCAAAAGTTTTGTTTCCATGGTGGCCGGGAAACCGACGCAGGAGAGTGCGTGAGCTGCAGCCCTGCAGAGTCATGCGGGAAGCCAGAATCGCTTTGAAGAAAAATGTCGTGGACGCTTTGTGAGAATTCGGATGGTCTGCAGGTGTTCACTGACCGGCGGCATTGCCCGCCGCTCCTGGTCCTGCCACAGCTCGCCTGGCTGCCTCCGTCCACCCCGTTCTCATACAACAGGGCCCCACATGCCATTGAGAGCCCGGAGGCCAGTTTTTGCAGGAGCAGTTCCCAACTCGGCCCGTACAGCGTCAGTGCTCCTTGCGCTCCCTGCAAAGTCAGCTGAGAGCTGTTCCCGCGCCACGAGGCTCTTGGGGGCTTGGGCTGACGGCGCTGGCTGGTTTGTCCAGCTTCAGGCATGGCTCTCCATGGAGAAGCAGGATCTGTGGACAGTGATGGGCTCAGTGCACTGACCATGGCCACCGCACATGTCCTGGCCTCTCGCGGCCTGCTTTCCCACAGCCCACCCAGCTCGCGTCCAGGGACAGACGTGCATTGGCTCCTAAAACATTGGTCACAGGAATTGTCACCGCCGCCCAACACTCTTTAGTGAGCTCATGACGTCCAGTGGTCTGGCTGGCCCCACTCCCAGGCCTTGCATGGCCACGGCCACCGTCAGGGGCCTCCTGAGAAGGCAGAGGCCTCGCCCTTGAGCTGAGCCACACGGTCGCCTGGACAGCAGCCGCAGAGGCGGGGCCCAGAGGCAGCTCAGCCCAGGGTCTGCGGGGAGCCCGGCCATACTCCCCGTGGGCCGAGCGGGGACTTGCCGCGAGCTGGGCAGGTGCACGCGGCTCTGCCCGTCCTGCTTTTCAGCCCATCCGATTTAACTGGCTTGTCCTCAGTCTCAGCTCCTGAAGCCGCCGTCTCTGGTTTCCTTTCTCATCAGGGAGGTAGGTTTTGGGGTGTTCTCTGCTTCAAGCACTGATGTTTGGGTGATTCTGCCCTCAGGGGCACACCCCTGAGCCCCAGGAGCCGCTGGGAAGCTCACCCCTCTTACTCAGGCCCCAGGCCAGGCCACACCGCGGCCGTCTTGTTCGGCCTGTTCTCCGAGGCTCACGTGCGCACCCCGGGGGCGTCAGAGATGATGATTATTCTTAGTCCAGCTGAGGAGATCATGTGCAATTTTATTGTTAATGGGTCCCCCTGGACGGAGGACTGACAGCTCGCCGAGCCGACTGTCCCCCAAAGTGCCGGACTCTCAGCCCCGTGCGGGCAGGCCTGAACCCGGCACAGAGAGGACCGTGGCGGGCCGGGGTCAGCGGCACGGCGAGGTGTGTGTCAGGACTTGCTTTCAAATGTACTCCAACCACTCAAGATTCTACACTGAATTTTCTTCACTATGCGAAGGGAGGTTCACAAATAACTCAGGTCAACAAAGCACTCGGCGTTGTCTGGCTGTACCACAGGAGTTTGAAAAACACGTGTTCCAAAATACAACCGTCTCTTCTGAGACATGCTGTTCTTCAACGCTGATCTCTCCTTAATGATGTTATTTCGGATGTTATTTCATTGATGTAGAAGTCCACAGTGTGACTTTCCAGCTACGAATGTAAAACCCGGAGAGCCGCCTGGCCGGCGCCCGCTTCCTGCGCTGCTCCTTGGGCGCGGGCTCAACGCTTCCCGCGTGAACAGCGGAGGCCGCGGCCGGCCCTGCCTTTGCCTCCCGCGGCCCACGCGAGTCCTTGTCTAATTTCAGGGGTGAGGAGCAGGGCTGGCGGGGTCAAGGCTAGATTTTTCAAACATAAGCACAGGTTTCTGGACCTGCACTTGTTTTGTGGCACAGGAGCGAGCAGGTCTGCAATCATCACGGCGCAGTTTCTAAATCATAAAAAATATTTTGAAGTAACCGCAGGCCGCGGTTGTTAAAAGACACATGGGTGTGGAACCGTGTGCAAAAACACTACTGAGGCTGAGAGGAGACGGAAGACACGCAAGCTTTCTCCCGCCTGGAAGTGCTGCGCTTGGCTCCTGCCAACACCTTCAGCGCTAGGTGGTGCGTGTGTGAGAGTGTGAGGGATGAGCGTGTGGGGTATGTGTGCTAAGTGCGTGAGTGTATGTGAGTGTTTGTGTGTGTGTGAGTGTGTGAGTGTGTGTGTGAAATCTCTCCCTGGTTTTACATCCCTGCGCCCAGTCCCCAGTCAAATTGCTCACACTGGATGTCATCCTTGGTCTCGCCGAGAACAGGCCTCTCAAGCCAAGAGAGAGTCACACCAGTTAGAACACTCAGCCCAAACCTGCTGTCTCGGTCAGGAGGGACCGCGAGGCAGGCCCTGCAGCTGACTTTGGGAAAATCAAGCCCGTGACCAGGCTCCATCAGGGAGGAGGACACAACCAGCGTTACACACACAAACCGACAGAAACTCCCCAACACCCGGGGCTGGCCGGGGCAGCCCCTCGGCTGACGGTAGCCATGCGGATCAACGTACCTGGAAGAGAAAGAGCATCTTCTCCACCACATTATTTGCAAAGGCAACTAAGAGCCACCCTCTCTGAGGTCACTCTTGCTCGCTTTGGTGGTGGGGCGGTGTGCGAGCAGGCATCTGGGGAGTGGGAGCCCGCACCCCTGACTCATAGCGTTGGAAACCAATGTTACACGAAAAATAATGCAGCTGAAATCAATCAATCATCAATCAACCACCCATCCTTCCTGGCAAGCTCCATTTTGGCTAAGTTTAAGAGTTCAAATCCTGAGGAGACAGGTGAGCTCGGGATGGGATAGTTGGGGAGAGAGACAGGGATGCAGCCCCGGGGCTCCTTGAACCCCCAAAATGGTGGATGACTTCTCCTCTGCTGCTCACTTCACTCACACAATATATCTGACAAAACCAGGCACCAGGAGGCAGAGTAACTAGGGGAATGACAAGGAGCCTCATCTTAACGCCGTTCCCAGAACATGCTGGTCCGACAACAACAAACACCCGTCGTGCGGTGTTTGCAGGCCCAGGCCCAGGCAGGACGCGCTCCAGCGTGACTTCCACGGAGCAGGAAACACCCTTATAAATCCGCTTCTTTTTTAAAAAAAAGATTTATTTATTTATACTGGGGTACAGGTCAGAGGCAGAGGAGGGTGAGAGTATTCACCAGAGCGCAGGGGGAACAGGACATGTGGACAGACCAAAGACACTGCTGAGGGGAGCAGAGGGGAGACAGGAGAGGTCTGCTGCGCCATGTGGGACTCTCTCTGGCCGGCCGGGAATTAACCCACGCTGCAGAGGCTGCGGACAGCTTCAGAGTGCTGCGCTCAACCCGCTGGGCTACCGGGGAGGCCCATAAATCTGCTTCTTGTAAACAAGTCAGACGTAACAAAACAAACCTCTAAAGATTAAGTGGAAACTTGCAGGTCGCTCTGGCAGGGAGCTCCAAAAACTGCGTCCAAATCACTTATTTCAGGTAATGCACTGTCAGTTCTTTGAAAGTGTGTCTTCCAGGCAGGGATTCAAGAAAGCACCAGAGGGCCTAAATAGCAGGATGAAAACTTCCTCCCAATTCTGACCTGTGTCTTCAAGGACAATCTCCCAAGAAGCACTAAGCCTTCAAACGACTAAGACCAGAGAACAAACTGTTCTTTTATGAAACAGGCGAGCAAACCAGGCGTCTCCCCAAAATGCAACCTAAAATTACCGAGGGAAAAGGGCAGCAGATGTTGACCTGAGGGGCAAGTGGACACAGCAGGGACAACACCTGCACTTGTGGCTGGGCAGTGCCTCCTTGCCCTGCCGGACACGTGTTATGGCGACATCGTCAGCTGTCAGGAATGACATTCAATTCTGAATTATTATTGCCACCAAAAAGTAAAGAGAAGCTTAAACTTCACGAGCCCCAGACTGAACAGCCACCTCTTTTCCTAACCTTGACTGAGATAACTCAGTGGATAGGCCTGCAGAGATGAGTCAGGGATAACGCCTTCAGGTAGGGTGTGCTCCAGCAGCAAACTGTGACAGACTGAGTTTCCCTGGCGACAGCAGTGAGCTGGGCTGAGAAGGAAGGAACTAAGGCCTCAGCACAGGCTCTTACCTTGAGTGACCAACTCGAGGGCTGCTGAGCTTCTACCTTCAAGATCAGAGAGATGGGAGGGAAGCAGAAAATTCATGCAACGCTGATCTCAGGCAGAGACTTTTCCAGGGTTTAAGCAGAAAGAGAAAGCTAGGCCCACAAAACTTTCCTCGGATTCTACACTTTGGGGCAGATAACTTAGGAGGCAATACTGTCAGGGCACCCATTTATTCATTAAGGAACTATGAGTTAAGCCCTTATTATGATTAAAGTGTACTTGGAGATTTTAATGATTGCAAATTTTTATGGTAGTAAAAAATTTAAAGCCTGTATTACAACCATTTAAAACTTTATACCCGTTGAAATTATATCAGCACATGTTTTTACAGCTCCCTCCGTGAGTGGCCCACGGCCAGTAATTATTACTTTGGGGGCATTAAATATGCCCGCGCCCAGCACCATCAGGCCAGGAGAAAGCCATGGGCAGAAAACAAAAGCCGTGAGCGTGAAAAGGTAATCACAGAATTCCAGGTGACTAAGATGCGTGCTCACGCGGTCCACCAGGACGAGGTCTGCTGTGGGGAGGGGCGTGTGTGTCTCAGGCAGAGGGTCTGCGTGTCTGGGGGAGGCGTGTGCCCCTGGGGAGCTGACCCACCCTCTGGACTGAAGGTAAGGACGAGAGGCGCAGGGTGGGCCACAGCTACTCGGCACAAAGAGACACAAAAGCCCGAGCAACCACCTGCCAGAGTGGAAAGTGGTTTATCTGGGGAGAGAATCTACAGGGAGGGGCTGCGGGGGGAGTGTGCTGAGTTCTGCAGGGCTTGAAGTGAAACAATGACAGTCATAACTATGTTTATGTCGGGGCCTCCCTGGTGGCGCAAGAGGTTAAGTCTTGCACTAT